AACTAGCATTGCCCGCGGCTCCGCCTGCGTTCAGATGACGAAAAATCAAATTCTTAGGTTTTACCTATTAGTATACACTTACATTGCAGTTTTTGTATTTTTTCTCAGAAATGATTCTATTTAAGTCTAAAGTTAAGATTCTAAGTAACAATATTTCTAACCCCCATAATATGTTAGCTGGAAGAGATCTCCGTTAGGGATAAGTCTACTTTTGCCCTCAATTTTCTCATAATGTTGTACCTATATTTTAATTTTTATGCGCTATAAAGAATATATATAAAAGGAAACTTAATACGTTGTATGTTTTTTAAAATTAACGACACTGATTTTATCTAAGCTGAGCTGAATAATAAATGTAAATACGCGTGTCTTGATTTGCAAATACATATTCTTTTGTTTAAAGTATAACCTAATAGTTATGCTATGAAACTATAGTATCACAATACACACTATAATATATTTGGCATGCAATATCATAAACTTATCCAAAACAAAAATATTTTCATTTATTTGCGTAATGTTTAATAAGCCATCCTAACAGTATGTACAGAGTGCACGTTACTGTACGTGGACATTCTGCGAAAAGAATATTCAATCGGGCGGCCCATCCATCCATTCATGCTAACACTACGAAATATTTACTAAGACTTGGGAAAAATTTGATCTTTATGGAGTGAGTTAGAATTGTGATTTTTTAAAATTATACGATAAATAATACAAAAAAGGAAGGCAACTTATCATTAACATCCCTCTGCTGGGTCGGGCCTTACCATGATGTGAGGGGGATCAGTAAATAATTATCAGACCCCAGTGCTACGCTGCCCAAGTGCGGGTTGGCGGACATTCATATGTCGTTAGAAAACTAGTTAGGTTCTCTTAGACATGCATCCCCACAATATTTTCCTTCATCTTAAGGCAAGTGGTAATCAATAATCATGTTACAAATAATTCGTAGTGTCATCTGAGAGTGTCAAAGTTGGTGTTTCGCTTACAATTAGTTTCCCAAGCATGAGGCTACCACTACCTATATAGTTCATCATTATCGAATGAGAACACATTGTTCACGTGGTATAATAATCCATCTAAATCCATTTAAATGTAATTGGGTTTTAGTAACGTCGCGTCGTATAATGGTTAACTGAGTTTCTTTCGCCAGTTCTTCTCAGGTTTGAGGCTTCTTCTTTCCGAACTGGTAGTAGATTCATGACGTTCAGTAAAAAATTGTAATAATTTAATGTTGAATAAAATATTTTGAATTTGAACAAAATGGTAAGCTTGATAAACTAATCAAATATTGGCACTATTATAATTGAGCAAAAAATTGACTGATATAATATATTAAGTACATAGGTACCTATAGATAAAATATATGTGTAGCGTAAACGTAAAGGTAAAATATTTTTCATCGAATCGTAATAAGTTGTTTATAACATTTCTCTTATCGTATTGACAATCATACTAGTAATACTTTCTTAGAATTAAGCGAATTTATGACATCTATATATATAAAAGAAAGTCGTGTTAGTTACACTATTTATAACTCAAGAACGGCTGAACCGATTTGGCTGAAAATTAGTGGGGAGGTAGTTTAGAACCAGGAGACGGATATAGGATACTTTTTATCCCGTTCGATTGAGTTCCCGTGTGACGTGACATAAAACTCAAGAACGGCTAGACCAATTTTTATGATATTTGAATTTTTGGATTTCTTAGTTAGTCCGGAATAGGATAATAAATATTAAAACATCAAAAAAAAAATTGTATGGCTACCTCTGGCTAATAACTATTTATATCTATTTAAAACGTACCTAGCGACAAACCCGAGCGAAGCGAGGGTAAGCCGCTAGTTTTAAATAAAAATATCTTTTCGAATTATTTTCTAAGATGAGATCAGTGAAAATATGCGAAAGATAACTTTATTTACTAATCAAACTAATGTTAAAGCGGCTGCTCACATCCCTTATTAGATAAAACCTACATTTTTCAAATTATCAGTTAGGGGGTTAGGAATTTTTGGAATTACTCTTAGGGGGATAAAATTTCAAGTCTTGGCACACTGTCTATTAATTTTTCGATAATACTGAGACCATTCTTAACGCGTGCGTTTAGCTCAGCTTCTACCCGAACACTGAATAACACTTAACAGGCATGTGTGTAGAGACAGCTCCGAATTCCGATATTGTCCCGACCGCCGTGCTTCCTGAATTGCCCCTGCGGCAGGTGTCAGTAGCGGGCTTTACAAAAGCCAAAGTTTGTGAATAAATTTATTGCTTCGTTTTCGCCGAGCTGTAGCTGCTCAACGGAGCTTAAATGTTACCTTCTGCCTATCAAGCAGGGAGATCTACGGGCAATAACTGGTTATAACCTACAATACTACCTTTAGAAAATTTCCGCCAAACTCGATGTCCCTCTCTTGGTGTCAGATCGGAGCTTGAAGCGCAAGCTTAATCCGAGTACTTTTGAAATGGTACAGGAAACTAAAAAAAATGCTTATATTTTTGGTTCAGACTGTTAATTTTGGCTTGCAAAAAGAGCCAGTACGGCCTACAAATCTACAATTAAGAAATGTAGTTTTGGCTTATACCTACTAGGTAGGTATACCCTATTTTGTCGGGGCGTCGTAGTTGAGTGCGTAAGCGATACTGCGACGCCCCATTAAGACGGGGGAAGGCTTTGTTGGGTTTTAGTGGGTAGTACTGGCTTTAAGTTTTTATTCGTTATTAAGTTTTTCTTTAATTTAAATAGCGCTATACAAATAGTCCGATCGCGTTTGCTCCACAAAAAATTAAAACCGGAAGTTTTATGTTTTTAAGACGTTTATAGCAAACAAGACAAGTATGGCAATCCGTTTAAATTTGTTTTTTTTTTTCAATTTCTGGCTTGTTGTGATATCTTATCTATTATTTAGTATTAAATAAAATTTACTATGTGTATTATTTATAGATTCTGACCTATTATAATTATCTCTTGTAAGTATTAAGCATAAATTAATAACGGAGTTTTTTAGTTTATTCGTCCTTTAATAGGACGAATAAAAAATAATTATTCGGCCTTTATAAAATATATAAATTATACGGAAGGACGAATAGACTAAAAAAAATAATATGTAAGGTTAAGGTTATTTTTTTACATATAGAAACAGAAACTCCTGCATCTTAAAATCACTTGTTACACATAAAAATAATACAACTTAAAAATTGTTGCGATCCTAAAGAATAAGTTTTCAGCTCAGTAGGTTAAGTTTATTTTTGTTTTGCATACCTATAGAAAGAAACTTCTGCACCAATCACATATAACAAAGAGTGGTAAATATTAGTACAAACCAACAATAATCGGACGAATAATTTTTTTTATTCATCCGAACATCGGACGAATAGCAACAGCCTCCTTTATTTATTATTCGTCCTTATTTTAAGTACCTACAAATAACAACAGACAATTAATAAACCATTAGGATTAAGCACTTAATTATTCCTTAAGAAAATATATGTAACTGAAGTGTTGAAAAAACTATATGTATCAAATATAGTAAATTAACTTGTTTACATTCTAAATAAGGAAATGAATACTTTCATTCAAAGTCTCTGACAGGCCATATCATTACATGCTAATGATAATGACTGTTTTGTTTGTTTATTTACATAAATGAGCATAATGTTTATTATACAATAACACCTTTATGTATCTAACAAATTGATAATGGTTGGTAATCATGGTTGGTAATCATGGGTGGCACTCACAATCAAACTAGTGCTTAACAGCGATGCGCCCTTCGCTCAACCGTCAACTGCCAATTAGGTAGTATTTAAGTATAATTTTGTCCTACAAATTTTGAGGTCCAGGATATCACACAAAATAGGTTCTCATGTTTTTTTGTCAAGAAACTATTTACAACCCCGTCATCAGACTGATCGTGTTGGTAACTATCCCACCTGTTAATAAACATGAAAGATATTATAAGGTCCATTTGTGTTTGCCTACACTTTGGTTAGACGTTTTTTAGTTCGGTAAGTTCAATTTAGTATAGGTAGGCTTGAGTTAAAATAAAATGTTGTAATATTTCTAGTCTATACGAATTATACTACATATATGCAGGTACTTGGAAAACCAATGAACTTATATATAAAAAAATAAAAATATATACAAAAAAATATATAATATTTTAATCAATAGTTTGAGATCCTGAGAAGGACATAGGATACTTTTTATCCAGGAAATCATTCCTTAAAGGGGTGAAAATGGGGATGAAAGTTTGTATGGGGAATCAACCTAGGGACGAACCCGAGCGGAGCCAGGGTGAGTCGCTAGTATTTTATAATTTTGTAAGCATTTACAAAAATATTCATTTTTACTATTTAATAAAATAATATATTTTTTAAATGTATAATTCTTTATATTTTTTTCTATTTTGAAGCTCTATAAAAAGTCAATATTAGCAGCTGTCTAGTATAATATAAATAAAATCGTATAGACTACGAGTACTTTTAGTAATATGGTCCTTGTCATTAGCAAAATATACTAATTAGATACATTGTTACGATCCTATCATATATCAATGGCGCCTCTATAATATAAGGAAATACGTACTTTAAATTTAAGTGGGATGTCTGGTTGAGTGTTAAGTACTTAATAGTATCCCTTGATCAGTGTTAACCATTCGAATTCACGAACAAAATGAATGGCTGAGAGTCTCTACGTAAACACCTCTTTATCAGTAACGGTGCTAGAATCAACTTCGAAGACACCGAGCGGGTGAAAGTCTCAGACGCATACTTCGCCTCAAGTTACGAACACGCCTGGCGATTTTGTCGCCGACTCGCGATTTCGGAAAGATTGTATCAAATAAACAAACAAATTGAGACGTGCGCGGGCGCATCGTGTCGCGTCATATCCAGTCAAGTAAGTCGGTCGAAGTCGCTCGTCTGATAGTGTAGTGCGGAGGCGCGGACCGCCGCCGGCGCACCGGCTCGCTCTCATCTCAGGGCCCAGCCTTATTCGTGATGTTAACAACGTGTATCATCGTTGTCTTGACAGCAGGCGCACTCGCTGACCTGCAAGCCCTGGATGCCACCCCCAACATCACTGTTCCTGCAGAACAATACTTCATCGACAAGATATTTGACAAGTATGGAGACAAAGGAATCATCACGTTTGAAGTATGTAATCAATTTGAGTTTTTGTTCTTACACTTACCTTACTTTCTGTTTTTGTACTTTATTTAATAGATAATAAGCAGTAACATATACTCGTAGAATAGTTATAAGAATTGCAATTTGTGTTAAATATCTCTTATAATCTTCATACATTGTTAGGTACATTTCTAATTTCACTACAATATAAGAAATACGATTCCCACATCTCGCTATTCAAGCTTAACGGAAAATTTCTAAAACCATTTTCTAAATCGCCTTTCCCTATTTCGTTAACGGTGGTTCGTCGAACTTAAATGTTACCACATAAATCTATCGGATATCTTAATCGAAAGCTTCTTATCTTGTTAAACGTAAACTAATAAGAACATATCTAGCTTCCCTGTAAGTAATAAATATATTAACTTATTTGCTAAGCCATTGCAACACACATATTTGGAAACCACACGGTTAACTGAGGCCTTTTCAATGAAAATTGCCGCGAGTAAATAGGGCAATGACATATCCTCTCTTATTTAAGCACTTCTTACCTTAAGGATTATTAATGGATGTAGTTTAGCATGCATTTGTATTACATATTTAAAAAAACAGTTCAGACTTATTAAAACAGCACATTCGGCCCTGAGGCCGAATTAAAATTAATCCTAATAAAAAATATATAATTAATACATTGAAAATAACTGTTATCTTTAGATAACTCATTGGAACTATGTATTCTACAAGTGCCTCATATTATCAAACATCTCATTCTTTATGTTATTAATTATTATGCAGTTTGAACAATGTCTACATAAGAACGGTACGGTGCGACAGTCTACTGTCCGCAGTCCGCACTAGATAGGTACCTACTCGTTAGATAGCGGAAAGGGAAGCTGCAAATTTAAATCTAAGCAGGATGAATGCGATGCATATGGCTAATACTTAATTGTGACTTTTAAATATACATTAAAGATTTCTATGTACATATTAATAGCGTGAATTTAAAATTGCAATAATTTTTAACCGACTTCAAAGTTCAAAAAAATCAGCTTTTGTTTTTGTTTTTTTCTTATTTTTTTCTTTATTTGACATCTTGGTCGATTAGCAATTCTTTTTATTTATTCTTATTTTAATTTTTATTGTATTGTTTTTTTTATGTCATTTCGTATTACAGTCATTAGACTATAGGTTCTAGAAAGTTTAAAAATATATTTAAAGAATCTCATTCGTAAAAAAGAAGATGAGCATAAAATATTGAAGCAGTAACGATATATTTTCTTATTTTATTAAACTCACTATACTGTTAAACATACGCCCAAAAATACGATGAAATATGTTTTATCAAAAATGTTATACATATAATACTTATATAACATTATACTATTATACAAGTTAGTACAAGTATTTAAATACATCAAGTTAAATATATATGTTCATCGAAGAAAAAATATTATAGACTGTTGACTTTGTTATTATCGAAATCAAATAACTGACTAACCGTGAGAGCAAAAAGTATTGACACATCAGTAAATATGGTATTTACTCATGTAGCTAGTTAAATAAATGAATAAAATGTCTACTTATATTTTTAAAATATGCCTAATATTTTGTACAATGGTTATTGTATGTAATAATTGTTATAATTATTTTTGTTATTGATTCGCTTCAGTTATTTTAGTCGTAATCTACGCATGTAATCTTTGGGAAATGTTCGAATGTCTAAAAATAATAAATTTTCGTTGTAACGACGACGTTACTCCCTCCCTAAAATGGTAACTAAGCCGAATCTGTACATTTAATATTTTTTGGAAGATCTGAAATCTGAAAAAAGAAAATATATTTCAATAAATAAACATTATTATTGATACAGAGGCCAAATCTAGTTTTTAGAATTTTTGTCTGTCTGTCTGTTAACGCATCACAGAAAAACCACTGGAGGGATTTTGATGAAATTTGGTATGATGATAGCTGGTTATCCGGGACAACATATAGGATACTTTTTACCGCGGGAAAATATCTCATTTCTGAGAGAAAATACAAAAAATTGCTAATATGTGAAACCTAAGAATTTGGTTTTCGTCATCTGAACGCGGGAGGAGCCGCAGGCAATGCTAGTACGTCTTATATACTCCGCGTTGCAAATATGTTACATTACATACACTTTAGCATAAAAATGAACCATTTTAACAGACATTGACATTTTTTTGGTGGTGTTATAGGAAAAACTTAATCCTGATGGATTGGCAAAAGTATATTTCTAAGAAAATTAATAATTAAAATAAAATAATAAAAAAAAAATTAGGTATTTTAATTGATAGTTGATGTATCACTAAACATTTTTTAATAGCTACGTTACTTATTATATTACAACTAAACGAAATTATAAAAACATAGGTACTAAAATAATAATGTATACCTATATTTATTTTCAAAAGGGTATAGCCGGATAATAATAAAAAAAGCAGTCATGAAGACTGCCGACAGAAGTAAAAACTTAAAACTATAAACAAACAGTTTTTTTATATATCAAAATTAATTGTTTGATCTTAAATTAAAATTTGTAATTTGAAACTGTTTACATTTATCTGGTTTTGACATCTATCGGCACTCTTGAGTGTTAGACACGTCACGTGACCATATCGACGACGACTTACATGAATTTACCCCCCATCCAAACCTGCCTATAATAGAAGTTTTCACTTTAAATTTTTGTTTAAAAAGTTGGTGCAACACTACGAAAAAAAATAGAAAAATAGTTTTAATTTGAACGAAAGAATGTTACGCAATTTTTTTCACATATCAAGGTCAAAGCGAAGTACCGCAGTGAAACTCATATGAATCGCTTTTCTACTTACATCTAGACCTAGACCATATAGATATACTAGCGACTCACCCTCGCTCCGCTCGGGTTCGTTCCTACTTATGTTTTAACATTTAGTATACATTTCTCAGAGATGATCTATTTTCCAGCAATAAAAATTATTCTATATTTTGACCCGGATAACCAGCTATCATCGTACCAAATTTCATCAAAATCTGTCCAGTGATTTTCCCGTGATGCGGTCACAGACAGACAGTATAGTTTGCTATAGTTGTCCGACTATACGTTTTCCAAATTGCAATGAAGAAAATGATAAAAATCATATTGTAACATAATATGTAAGACAAGACATAAATCTAATAATGATATGTTAAGTAATTCATTATCAATATTATAATGTACACGAGCTGTATAACGCATGTTGTATTTACAGTAGAACAGGTGTACATTGTAAATGATGTCTTTTATTTTTAATTTCTATACCGAGCTCATAAAACGGAAAATTAGCTTAGAGCATTGTTCTCAATAAAAAGTAAAATAGGTAAGTCGCAAAAGTTTAGGGTTTGTATAATATGCTTAGTTTAATTTTGTCCGATATAAAAAAGGAAAAACAAAATAGAAAATTAAATAATAAAAAGATAAAAATATTAAAATCTTTACTGTTCCCTAAGTAGAAAGAAATGTCAGCAAATAAAAAAGAGTGATCATGATCCGATTACTAGTTTCAGAGAAATGTCTGGACAAACATACATACATACATACGTATACACTATACATACATATATAAAATTTTGTAAATTTGTTTGGAAGCCCTAATAGATTATCATATGTGACTATTTTGCAGTTCTAATAATATTACACTAGTATAGTAGGTATTATATGATCTGTAAATTGTAATATTACATACATACATACGACTACGAGTACGTGTCGAATTGATGACCTCCTTTTTTTTGAATGCAGTTAAAAAAACTTGAATAAATTCTAACAAGGGCAATTGCTCAGTGCTGTATCCAGTTTCTTAGACTTAAAACAAATGCATATCATACTTTATTTCAAACATTAAAAAATATTTCGTAACATTCTAGCTACTCACCCTTGCTTCGCTCGGATTGAGGAGTTAAATGGTTTAGCAACGCGTAGAGGATAAATATACAAATAACCATTCATTTTTATTTATATACATTTAGAGGCATTTTTGCACTATCCTTGTTGAATGAACATTATGTGTTTTATGTAGGTATATGTACAGATGTACGAGTAGCCCTGAAATTCGTAATAGAACTCATCTATCTCATTTGTTATTTACTATTAAAAATAATAAAATCTCTTTTTAAAGGTCGTGTGATCACTCTCACTAACAACATCTATGAAACCAGATACAGATAAAACTTTCCTTTTTATGTCGGTCATCGCTTTTTAAAATAATGATAGGTTTATATTGGTATGGTACCAATGATATTATATATAATAATTAATATATAACATTTTTGTTGGATACACCATCTTTCTTAATTGTTTATACCTATAAACACCTATGCCTTATAACTGCACATGTAATGCTACTTCTTCAAATACTATTTAATTAACAACAACATGAACAGCGATTACAGACATGTCTTTCACGAATTCTGAGATGAAGCTAATGCTTAAAATTAAAATTTTAAATATGTGTGTCTTCTTACACAATAATTGTTCAGTGTTTATCATCTATCTCTTTTATATTTAGCTTAACCCGTGTAATTTATATTTGAGCATAATTGATTTGTTCAGAGTCATAAGTGTCATTTTCATAGGTATTTGACTTGGCTTTCTGCCTTTCTCACTAATTATTATTAGGCTATAAAATGCAAAAAGATTTTTTCTAAAAGAAACAGTAGTGTGAGAATTTATTTGTAATCAATAGAACAAACAAACTAAACAGCTCTGTTGTTAGTATCTATACTTATAGATTATATTAAGTTTAATGTTAAACATTATTAAATTAATTATAAAATTAATTATACATATACTAATATAATTATAAATGTGAAAGTTTGTGAGTATGTATGGATGTTTGTTACTCTTTCACGCCAGAACGGCTGAACGGATCTGGATCGCACGCAGATAGATTATAGTCTGGAATAACATAGACTATTTTTTATACCAGAAAAAACATTTTTCTGGGAACCGTACATGGTTCCCGTGGGATAGGTTTGTTTTTGTTTTCCTAGCGACGAACCCGAGCGAAGCGAGGATGAGCCGCTAGTGATATAATAAGTGCTAGTAGATATGATAAATGAGTAGACCTTTTCTAAAGTGCAAAGATCTTAATGTGTATACTTTTTCTACTGCTCTATGACTGAGTAAAAAGGACAAAAATACAAACGCACAGTTGTAACTTGTATATCCATATAAAAAATATTTAAAATCTATGAAGTATCAAGACCAAAAAACAAAATATATAGAAGAAAATAGAAAAATACAACTAAATAACTGTACTTGTTTATCAAGTAAGACAAACATATACTAATATTATAAATGCGAAAGTAACTCTATCTATCTGTCTGTCTGTTACCTTTTAACGCTTAATCCGTTGCAATGATTTATATGAAATTTGGTATAGAGATAGTTTGAGATCCTGGGATGGACAAGAGAAGGGGTAAAAGAGGGGTAGAAATTATATGAATTATTGTATGGGTAATTAATAATTTCTCAAGTAAGGGACATATTTTTTTATTTTTTAAAGTAATTACCCACTTTTCTATTCCCATGTATGTATATATGTATATAGTCTATTTTATACTAACCGTTAAAACGTACCTAGGGGCGAACCCGAGTGAAGCGAGGGTGAGCTGCTAGTGCAATATATATTGTGACTTGTCTCCAATGAGTTTAATTTGTAAACAATTATTAGCTAGTATTTGAATAAATATTTATAAGTAGATATAATATAAATTATCTACTGATATGACTCTCAGTCAATATTCGAATTATGATAATTAATTATCAATTACATAAATACGTTAATGATAGGAAGATATTACAATTTACACGTAAGAAGTTTAAATGTGTACTTAAACGATTGGTATCAATGAATTCAAGAAATATCTTGTAAAAGTAACCACATCTACAGCTATTTTTGCGTAAATCAAAGTTAAAATAATATTATTCATAACTAAGAGACAGATTTCATTAAAATTATAGACTTTCTGAGTTTAAACATATCGTTAGCGAGCGTTATTCGTAGAGCGAAAAGTTAAACATTAAATATGTAATTGTAGGTAATTAAAAATTACTTAGACCTCAATTTCTTCTTCTGTTTCTTCTGCCTTCATGGCCTGAAGTCTTCTGATAAATATATACTTATGTAGTTTTCTTACTGCTCCGGTTTTAACATCCATGAACAAAGTAACAACACCATTATTCTGCAAGTTTTTCATTACCATCAGCTACTATTCTTAACCCCATACCGGCCGGATAGCGGGAACACCGGACGCTAATGGGTCCCCCATTGGTGTCTCTCGTCATCCGGCCGCGTCTCCGGGTCTTTGGATTTTTACTTTTTATTTTCTTGCTGGTTCTCTGGGCTGTCCTGGTGTCATTTGCGGCCAGCAAAAAACCTATGATATCGTCTTATCAATAAAAACCGCGTGCTACGATAGCACTGCACTGGTAGAAAATAAAGTAAAATTCCACATATATTTCGACTCATTCTGCTTTCTTTCTATGCCAGCTTAACAGGGCTTGGCAGGCTTATTATTAGATGACTCTTCTTAGGCGATTTTATATCGAATCCCCTATTCAATATAGTACTTTTTTAGATACACAAATGTATTGTGACTTTTTGTAATCACACAGATTTTTTTATGAAGACAATTGTAAATTGTTACCCAAAGCGTGACGGCACAGACTAATGAAGAGTGATAAAAAACAAAGGTTATAGAAAACAAAAAACAAATTGAGGAATGTGATGAAACACGAACGAATATAACGAATGCATATACATATATACCTATGGCTGCACCAATTATTTTTCAGTGGAACTTACAATATAATTTTATGGTTTTCTAACAAATCAATATGTTCGACGATTTAGAATGTCAAAACTACAAAAAACACATTATAGAATTGAATTGTGCAAAATATATTGTGTGTTATATAGTATTTTAAATGCAAAATAAGGCTGTCTGTCGGCTTTGCTATTCCGACAAATGGAATGATCGATTTGCATGTGGTTTAGGGATAACTAAAACGTTGATGATAGGACGTAGCCCGTAGCTATACAAATATTTGTTAAATATTACTTGACATATTAAATATTATTAAAAGGACAAAATATATTTTATCTGCATATTGGCAGCATTTCTTCTTGTAACTAATTATACTGACAGTAACGCTTCCATACTATTCCACCAAATGAGCTGTCTCGGTGGTCTAATCTAGCATGTATGGCATCAAATCCGAAGGTCCTTGGTTAGGAGGAAATTTTGAGTAACAGCCCAGAGTTGGGAAGTGGCAGCGTTTACTGCCGCGTCTCGAGAGAGTAAACTTGCGCACTATAATATCTGCTGCAGTGATGGCTAATCTCACTGAGATTGGCAGCCATGACTGAAATTGGTCAGAAGGACATTATTATAAATTATAATTCTTCCACATTTGTATAACGGATGCTGCAGGTTCGATCTTTTTGAACTCTAAGAAATAAATTTATAATAAAAAATAAACTTTCCTTTTTATGTCGGTCATCGCTTTTTAAAATAATCAATATACCTACCTACCCAATGATATTATATACATTCAATTAATATATAAAATCTTTGTTGGTTCAACCATCTTTCTTGATTAAATGCCTATAATATAGTATATAGGGTATATACCTTATAACTGCACATGCGATACTGCTTCTTCGTCAAATACTATTTATTTAATTAACAACAACATGAACAGCGATTATAGACATGACTTTCACGAATTCAGAGATTAAGTTAATTCTTAAAATTAAAATTTTAAATGTGCAAAACAATAATTGTTCAATGTTCATCATCTATTTCTTTTATATTTAGTTCAGCCCGTGTAATTTATATTTAAGTATAATCGATTTGTTCCTAAGAATTAAAGAGTCAAATCGTCAGTTTCATTTGACTTGACTTTAGGCCTTCCTCATTGATTAGTAGTAGGCTATATAATTCAAAATATTTTTTTCCAAATTGGTCAGCAGGAGATTATTATAATTCTTCCACGTTCGATCTCTTGGAACTCTAAGAAATAAATTTATAATAAAAAATAGGTACTTATAATTTATTTTTTTCTTACATTAAACACTCATAAAATTACACTTTAAATAAAAATTATAACTCAAAATATCCTTACAAATGATAAAAAATATTATTTACAGGGATTCGAGCATTTGCTGGACAGTCTTGGATTAGGCGGACGCGTCTTTAATTCACCACATGACATCGCTCTTCATAAGATAAATGGCACGTTCCAACAACTGCACGACACATCACACCGGCATAAAAGATCACCGACATCCAGTAAGTATTAAATATTAAGTTCCCTTTTTTTAATATAAAATTGTGAACTTCGATGTTGAGTTTATATAATATCTAAATAGTTAAATAAATAAGCCTGTTTGTGTTCCTAGTACATAAAAAACAATTCACCAATTTCGGCAGTTACTAATAAATAATACATGAGTATGTCATAATCACATCAGGTACAATTATTATGACAAGTGATAATTATAATTATGACAAATTATGAATAAAGCTGGATAAAATCAAAGTCTATTAAATTGATAGTGTGTACAAATCTTTTTATTTAACAATAGTGGGTCAAAAAGGTCGCGAAATGAGAAGGAAGAAGAATGAAAAAAATGAACCATTAACCTATATTTCCTTTTCAATATATTCTCCGGAACTCTAACTACTAACTTAATACATTATTCGGATTTGTCATATTTCTTATTAGAGGTAGATTATATCGTAAAAAAAAAGATTTGTCTTGGGCATCAAAACAGGCCGAAAGCGCCGACTTGACTTGTCATTGTTGTAATTTTTTTTTCACGCAGTTCTTTATTATTTTTTGGAAATAAATAATAATCCTTGGGAGATTTTAATTTTTAATTTCATTTTCATCAATTTTCTTTTAATAAGTTTCCAATTTTAACAAAAATCCTTGATCATTCTCAGAATTTACACTGAAAGGCGGAAACACCTCGTGCAAAATGAAAGCTTAGACTTAGTCAATGGAGTTAAAGTAGCGTCCTTCAATCTAAATGATCATTGTAACGGGTTACACTGAATATTGACCTTCATGGTACTTAGTCACACCAGCTATTGTTACGTACTACCTACGAAGTCACAATATTTTTTTTGTCAGACTGTGCTAAGATTGACTTGACAACTATATAAACATATTATTTTCATCATGTATGTTGTTTAAAAATTCTCTTACTGTAGTTAAAAATTCTCAAAAACGAAGTGAGGCCGCAATCGCTGAGTTTTTTACGTGAAATAAACATATTTAATAAAAAAATAGCACAGGTTTTTTGTAGAGAACCTAAGAATTAGGTGTACCTATATTTTTCCGTGACCAATTTTTATTGATTAGGTAGGTACTTTTTCGTGAAGGTCGATGAATTAAGACTTTTATTTCTACTTAATTGAATTTCCAATTCACAAAACGAACTTCTTACACTTTTTTCTTACATTTTAAACCGACTAGTCTTCCAAAAGAGGGCACTCGATTCCCTTTTTATATATATCTATGTGTGTTCATATACCCCATATCTTTGCTATTTATTTATATAATTAGCGGTTGTCGCTATAATTAACGCTTTTCATGATTTTTTTAATATATAAGTTAATAAAGGTATCTAGGATATCTCTCTAAAAAAAATCAAAATACATAGTTTGAAAGCGGGTGATCTTTTTAGTTAAAAGAAAATTATTTATTAGCAGATTTAGTTTCTACTTAAGTTTATAATTAATTAATTGTTGTTTTATATAACGTATTCCATCTTTAGAGCACATATTCAATTCAGTATTCACAACACGCAGTACTCAGTAGGAAGATTACTGGTGCGCAATAAGAGTTAAAAACGCTTTCGATATTTACGGGTTAGTCATTATCCTATTACAGCCCTATAGTAACGTTCCCGCTTGTACGTTGATCCCTGTCTTCATTCATATATCCTTGAATTAAATTAGTTACATTACGTACTTTATAAATAAAAATGCAAATGTTTTACTTTTTAATATATAACTTATTTTGTTTTTTTTACAGCAATTCCAATATTAAAAAAATCATGCTTGTCCCCAAAGGAAATATTAGAAGTTTATGGAATGGAGAACGAACCGGGCATCATAACGATCAAGCCAAAAACATTTTTAGAGATGTGCCCTGCTCTTGTATACCAATTGGATCAAAGATCCTGCTATAAGATAAAAGTACCCACACCCAAGCTTAATCGTCTGTGGAGTATGTATATAAATGCTCAAATAATACCTACATATATTTAATAAATAAATTATATTTGGTAATAATATTAATAATTATCTTTTGTTTCAGCGTGGATTTATGCAACTTTGAGCATATTAGTCATAAGTGCAACAGGATTGTTGGGAGTTGCAATAGTGCCAATGTTAAAATCTGTTATATTTAGCCATGTTATTCATTTTCTGGTCGCGGTTGCTGTCGGAACTTTATGTGGTGACGCTTTATTACATCTGATGCCACATGCGCTTAAATCACACGGAGTACCCAATGAACCTCAAGAAGAGACCGAAGTAATACTCAAATGTAGTGTAACTTTTTTGACGATTCTTTTATTCTATACGGTGGAAGCCATAATGCAGACGCTTAACGGCGGTCATTCACACTCTCATGACGCACCAAATACATCTGTTATAGAAATGAAAGTAGAATCAGCAAAACAAATCGAGCCTGTAGAACTTGGTGCGATGATGCCTGGCTCGCCCCCTCCACCTGTTGATCGTCCGATGACGTCAACAGCACTTATGGTCATCGTAGGCGATGGGTTACATAACCTAACTGATGGTTTAGCCATAGGAGCAGCGTTTAGTGGAGATCCGGTAACCGGTTTTGCTACAGCCCTCGCTGTATTCTGCCATGAACTTCCTCACGAGTTAGGTGATTTCGCAGTCTTGTTACGTTCAGGTATGAGTATAAAGCGTGCCTTATATTACAATTTACTTTCGTCTGCTCTGAGCTTCATGGGTATGGCAGGCGGCATATGGCTGGCTGAAGATCACGAGTCCGCTTCGCAGTGGATATATGCTGCTACTGCTGGAACTTTCTTTTATATTGCTTTAGCAGATTTAGTACCTGAAATAAACGAAAATAATAAAGGAAAAAGCATTCATTTAGTTCTTGCTGTGCTCGGTTTCTTGAGTGGTGGTATTATTATGCTCCTTATAGCGCTACACGAAGACTCAATCCAATACCTTTTTAGAAATGCGGAACAATGAAAATATAAATAATGATGCGTACTGTATTATGTGATAATTTACGGTACCTTACTACTCACGGTTGTTCAAATTATTCGTCGTATAATAATAATTTTTATTATAAGTTAGTTATTTGATATTTCAAGTGAAACTTAATAAACTGCTCAATCAGTTTTAAAATTAGAAAATATCAAAATATAGGTAATAACTACTTTATAAAGGTAATGTTTAGGTGCATTCCATGTTTTATGTATAAATAGACAATGTGTGCGTAATATAATTTTATAGTTTGTTATTTGAAGTTCCTACCGTTTATTTATATTAAATTTTAAATTATGTGTTAAGTTAAAAAATTGTCTATAAAACAAATCCACTATCAGTATTTTACGCATAATATTTCCGGTGTCTATACTTGCAATAAATGTAAACTTGCATAGGTAGGTACCTCTTCTATTTAATTATAATTTAAGGAGTGTCTGGTGAATTTTGTAAATAAGTCGTTTATAGGACATAAATTGAATAGATACTTTTAAGTTTAGAATACTTGTGTGTATTGTGGACGTGTTGATAAACAAAATGACTTTTACAATTGATTTGTGTTAATATTTTATGCATGACATAATTGAATAAACAGGTTTTAAAAAATATGTTTTGTGTCTATTTTCAACCAAGTAGCAAGCATTTTTAATTGCAATTGTTGAAGCATCATTCTTATAATAATTTAGTAAAATTACAGTTTCTATGTGATATATCTCATTGTTACTTTGCAAAAAAGGGAGCCACCGACCTGGTTGACATTTTAAAAGAGAGTAAAAAAGTTCATATGCTAGTATAGTATTATATGATCTGTGATATGGGCAAAGAATTATTTGTAATTACAATCACTCGAAACTTGATATTAATGCTCTTCAATTCAATTAAATAAATATGTGTTTAGCATTTTTAGAAATTCAATCCCATAAGGGGGTAAAATGGGGGATAAAAGTTTGCATGAAAATCTGTAATTAATATGAAAAAAATATTCCTCTGGAGACGATTTAAGATTTTTAAAATGACTTTTTTTTAAATCATGTCCCTAGCTTTAAATATGAAGATTGATAGTAATTTCGTCAATTTTCGTCGTCTTATTGCTTTAGCCACAATTTCTTCAGTTTTTGTCTTTTGGGAACAAATGATATCCATATTCTTTGCAACCTGGTACTGTAGAATTTGTCATTTTAATTAAAGTTTAAGTGAAATGAAAAAGAAACCATTCATACAATACAACTTTACAATATACTGAAAGCTATAGTGATCGTGACATCTGGCGGGAGAAAAAAGCAAAATTCTTCCCCATTGAAACACAGTTGAGCACAGATTATTAAAATGGAGAAGACAAGAGGGGCACCTAGTACCTACTGCTTCAGTTCTGCATTGATAATGAGGAGGGTAGAACTAAGGAGAACCAATTTATATGGGAAACAAGTTGAAAAAGTGTCCAGTGGTCACGTGGTAAGCAGCAAATTGTAATTCAGAAACTCACCGCTAAAGCGCTAGCGTAGCAAGTAGATTTGGATTGTGATGTGAAGTTAGCAGTTTTAAACTGAGTGAAGTGTTCAGAATTATTATTACTTGACAACAATAAGTAAATTGTAATTATATTCTTTATCTGTGTTTGCCTATGTTAGAACTATGGATGAAAATAAAGGTTATATCTATTTTGAAGAGTGTGTCACAACACAGCGGAAATCTTTCTTTCCTTGTTTAATACCACACCACCATCTTACTCTTATGGCTTTTGGCGCTATGTTGAAATTCATCAACTTATTTTCTGTGGCGCCACCAATTTGATGCCTGTCAGCGGTCACTTTTTATACGAGAGATAGTTCTCCTTAGTTCTACCCTTCATAATTTATAATAGTAATTAATCATTAAAGTGGCAGCATTGAGATATATTTGTCAAATTTCAATGTCAAGTTTAAAGTTATATCATGATTGCAGAAAAAAGATAGTTTGCTATATATTTAATAATATGAAATAAATATAACTATTAATAAACGTATGTTTATTATTATAGTATAGTCTGTGATTAGGTATCCTTTGCACGTAACAGTATACTATTCTGCATTTTATGGTATTTTTAATGAATACAATGTTGAAAGGACTGGTAAGTGATAAACCTTTTCCTATTAAAAAGTGAACCAATTTTAATACCAAGACAGTAACAGATATATCCTTATTCCTTATTCAGATTTATTTTCTAATCTCGTTATAACTTTTAAGTTTAATTTAGAACCTTGCAATGTATTATTGACTATTGACATATACCTCCAGTGTTACTTAATTGATTTCAGCACTTGTTCAAATATTACAATTTTATAATAATTTAGTTTCAATAGAATATATTTGAATTAACAAAATAATACATTTTCTTTTACTTTATTATTATCTTATAAGTATCTGTTTACATGAATATTAAACAAATATTGCCATGTAAAAATTGTTTCTTGTATCGGACTAATTTAGTAGGGTTTTTTTGAATATGGAAAATCACTTCGTCATATGTCATAATTATTTATATTTATCACCAATCACCTACAAAATTATAAAATTATTAAATTCCAAATATGTTAATTATAAGAAGCCAATTCCTTTCTTTAAATATAATTAGAGAAATCTAATTAATAATCATATTTTCATGTATTCTACAATATGGGTTGTTTTACTTCACTTTTAAAAACTAGTGTAAGTTATAATATCTATTGATATAAAAGTATTACTTCCTTTAATTATATATTTATTACATTATATTTTCAGCTAATTTTCGGTACTGGAGTCTATACAGGAGTTTATATAGCACAAAATTATCAGGTGGGAATATTTTAAATGCATTTTTTCATATTACCTGAGACCTCATTCACAGTAATCTACCATCAGTATTATATTTTTGTAGAAAAATATAAAAATATATTGTGGTACTACTTTGTATTTACAAAGGAGGTCATATTATTTGTATGTGCATCATATGCTACTATAGTTATTATTATTTTTAAATTAAAAATAAATCATTATTTCTCCTACTTATATAAATAAATACTGCATTACTCCTGGCTCAAACAAAATTTTGTCTTGATAATGGCCTCTTTTGTTTGTCACATCTTTATTACTACTTTATTTTATTTTTAATGCAGGCTGCTGTTGATCTAGTTTGTAAGGAAACGACTCAGGCTTGTGACAATGCCATGGATAAAAAGAAATGGTTTGTTATTTTTTTCTTTTCTTGATAAATTTTAAGTAGTTTGAACCAGGAGTTGCATAATGCAACATATTATAGACAAAAGTACCCTTAACTTTGTAAAATAGCAACAATTTAAATTATCAATATGCTCTTACTGTGGTGTAATAGAACATTGGGTATATATTTATAATATATAAAGTAGTAGTAGTAGGCCTCGTAAACACAAACTGCATTTTGAGGAGCTTTTCTGTTCATAATGCTGAAGATCCTCATCAGATCTTCACTGAATTTTTATGCTTTTATATTACTACCTTAAACTAAAAAAGAACCATTGAAATTGGATAAGGATAATATCTAAAATATCTCCAATCAATTTTACCAGACATAAAACAGAGATGCTTCACTCGCTCGGTCAATTATACATAGGATGGATTACAATCAATTCTTTAAAGTATGAATATTTAATATGAATTACAATTATGAGAAATTTATACATTATATGAACAGCTTTCAAATTTGAACATATACTATTTTAAAAAATAACAGTAACATGTCACTGGTATGTTATTTTACTATGCATTTTTTTTTGTTTCAGATAGAGAAAGTAGAAGATCCAAAGGTCTTATTTGAAAAAGCACAGGCTTTCATTAAAGCAAAATTGGATGAATTTAATGATAACAAGAAAGGAGGAAAAGATTAAAATACATTTATGAATGGATTTGTCAAGTTTAATTTTTTGTAAATAACATCTATATGTTAAAATGATTTACGATAATAAATAGTAGCAAGTAATTCAATATTTCAATATATTTATAGCATAGATATTCCTCCCCCAATATATTCAACACTTGTTATGGGTTCCTCAAATGCTAACCAATCACTTGAATGTGTAGGCAACAATCCCATACTCTGGCATTTATAAAGGGCTAAAAATATATTTACTAAATTCCCAATTATGTACATAAACTTCTGTCCAATGGTCTGAGTACCTTCAACCATCTTGAATGTGCTTTGTGTAGAAAACAAGGCCTTGACTGGTCTCACAATTAACATGCCTACCATCATGATAGGGAATATAGAAATAGAGTTTCCTGCCATATACATGATAAATAAGTTCATTGGCACTTGTTTAAGAGGTCCAAGAGCAACATCCCAGAGTTTTTTAATCAAGAGTAAATTTGAATCAGTATCTTTTGATGATTCTGTATAGTTAGCATTAGCAGATTGACTATAACCAGGGGGTGACGGCAACTCAGTTGCTTGCAGTCTGTTTCTGAAATAAGAATATTAATTCTGATAAACATGGTTCGACTAAATCTTAAGTAAATTATATTGTATAATTAGATACACAACGCACTTTTGATTAAAATCTAAAGCCCACTTAAACTTTTTGTTTGATTTTACTTGAGACATTTTTTAGCTTTTAGATGAATTTGCACTATTATCAATTTAACTTTGCAAAGAAAGAATTACAATAAGAATTGACGTTTAATGAATGGCAATTGAAAAATGACTTTAAAGTTTGACGTTTATGTATACAGATCTATTATGGCATATTGATGGATGTCAGCTAGAATTTAGTGTTGTCAGGTCAGAAAAAAAGATAATAATAATTAATTAAATGCTTATATTATATATTTCCATTGATATACAAAAACTCAAAATACACAGTCCGGGTCTCAAAAGTGTCCTAATTCAAATTAAAAAGTTAAATTATAACCTATTTCGCGAGAATATAAACTGACGAAAGATTGTGTGTATTAATACAATCCAAAAATTATTTATGGTATTAATGTTCTTCAATACAATTAAATAAATACGCGTTTTGGCATTTTTCAAAGTTCATCCTATAAAGGGGTAAAATAGGGCATGAAAGTTTGTATGAAACCTACCTTGTTACTCAATCACGCCAGAATGGCAGAACGAATCTGGATGAAATTTGTCATAGAGATAGATTTTAACTTAATTCCAAAACTTTTTTTTTTTTTCACATCCAAGTTTTTTTTTATGGTATTCAGTGACAGACGAGCAGACAGCACACCTAATGGAAAGCGGCACCTGTCGCCCATAACACCTACGGTTCACGCACTTAGGTTTTATGTTACAAAAATACAGAACAGCAGGTGCGTTGTCACTGTGAGTACTAAGATGATATGCCTCTTGCCTGTAATTGCGCTGGCTTCCTTATCCTTCAAACCAGAACACAACAACGTAATCATTGTTGCTTGGCGGGAGATATAGATAAGGGTGTGTTACCCATCCAGTCGAACCCTGAGATTCGATTGGATGCGATAAACAAACTTTATGTACGGCAGAAAGGTTTTTAGTTTTTTTTTATTTACTGTTTCTTTTCAAATATGATGAAATACACATGAATTTGTAAATTAATAATTAAATAAATAATTTCACATTAAAAAACCTGAATAAAATTAAAAATTCAAATTAAATCTAGAATAAATTGTAAGAAGTTATAGGCTAAACATTTGGAATTAAATAAACAGTAATTTATGATTCATTTTATTTTTAAAGAGGTAACAATCGTATATTAACAATATTATAGGTAGGTATAGTTAGCAGCAGACCACTTAGGTATATATTAATAGCTACTGCCTACTGTACAGGTATCACATAGTTACAATAATTATTTTAACTTAAAAAAACACAATGTGGTAAAGTAGATAAAATGTAAATTATGTTTAATATACTGATTATAAAAAAAATATTACTTTCAACTGTCAAATCACAGAAAATACTGTTCTCTTATCCTGCCATGAAAAAATGATCTAGATAATACGCACAGAATAAACATTAAGCTTTACTTAAGTGCGAGGTCAGGCATTGCTATAAAATGACATTACATAATACTCTTCTTTATTAGATTTTATAAAACCTGATTAATTACTAGCATACCAAATGCAGCCGTTCGCACCGGACAAACAAAGGTATTAATATTTATGTACCTACATTACATATTTAAAATACATACAGAAATTCCAGAATGAACATTTTGGGGCAAGGTGAAAATTTTATTTTATGTGTGGCAAGCAAATAATTCGCTCTAAACTATTAACAGCTCATTTCTGTAGCCTCCATTTCTCTGCTTTAGTAGTTCCGGTATGTACTATGTAGTACCTATGTACGTACCATAACATTCTTAAAGCATATGATATTTAACAATGCCTGATTTTCTAACAAAATTTTCTAGGTACTTATTTTTATAAAAACTAAGTAAATAAGTTCTTCCACTAACCGTGGTTATTTATTATTGACATCGTTCATTGTACACATCTGACAGTACATTCTGTCAGGTGGATAGTGGATATGCCTACAATCTACATATTCGATATTTAAAAAACCGCTTCGTGCGTATAAAGCCTTAAAAGTCATAGTGCAGCTAGGCAACACGAGCTAAGTCGTTTCCACAAATAGCTTTTAATTCATTAGCGATGGAGATATCATTTTGTATTCCTTTTCTGTTTTCACCGTAGTCGGCATGCTCTTTGCAAAACACCACAATCCTTTGACACGCTACGCGCATTTTATCTTCAGGTACAGTCAATACAATTCGCATGTAGTTGGGATAATTGAAGCACTATGAACAAATATAATAAGGTGATTATTAATGATCATTCTATAATGGACTTCAATTATATAATTACTTTTACTACAACTTTAATTACATAATTTGAGAAAGTTTTTGATATCCTAATCAAAGCCCACTCATAGGATTTAAGTCCAGATACTTTCTACTACTAAGGTAAGCCTACACCGTTCGACTATCCACACCTATATTATTGCACCTTACTGTCGAATGCTGCGATATATATACAGGGGAATATTTTTTAGGACAACAAATTATCATTTTTTTTAATGAAAAGATTAAATTATGAGCTCGCTTCTTTCGAGTATTTTTCACTTTTGGTATTGACAAAACTTTTCTCGTAGGTGTTTCGAGAATTAGCCTCAATAAGTCATAACAAAAAATTAAACTGAATTAAACATTACCCACATAATAAATATTGACTATACGTAAGTCAAGTTTGTATCTTGCTGGCATGGAATCTGTTCACCGGCAATATAACCGGCTAAGCCCACTTCAAAAATGCACCCTACCATACCGCAGTCACTCCGAAAAGATTATCAATTTACCTCTCTTTAGTCCATTAACTAATTTGATAAAATTTCACAGACAAATATGAGATAAGGGGCATATACTTTTTTTTAAAAAATGATATTATTAGAACAACTTACAAAAGGGCTATTATTACTTTACGATAGGGGGAAGTTTACCCCTGTTTCCTCCGACGTCTTTCTTATTCTTGGTTCAAATATCTATAAGTACGATATAGGATCTAACTTAGAAAGAAAAGGATACATAATTTACGCACTGGATACCACTGACAATGAAACCGGTTTAATGAAAAATAATAAGAATAAAACTATACAACTATAAATCGGACTAATTAATAAAACATAACTTGCCTGTCCAGGTAAACAGAAGACGGACTGTTCTGACACCATGCGCTCTATAAATTGACACTCATTTTTAATATTTGGAAATTGTGAAATTTTTATTTCAATCATCATATACATCGCTCCTTGAGGCATAATTGGACGTAGGCCCGGCGCATGTCGTAACTCTTCGTACGCCACTTTTGCTTGATTCTGAAATAGGTATAAACAATATTATTCCTAATTTATATATATTTTTTTTATTTTGCTTTAAAATTAATTACTCCGAAACGTTGTCTACAAAATAAATTTTCTTATTTGAATAGATCACTAAATTACCTAGCAAGTATATTTTTTTTATTTTCATAAAAAGCAATCGATTTAAATCCATGGCAAATACCTACCTAAACAAACCACATAAATATGAATACTTATTTACACCATAAAAGAATTCTGGAAGTTCGAACGCAGCTCGTTGCATAAACTGATATCAATTAACTTGTTCTTATTTGAATGCAAAAACCTTCCACTCACCTCTATAAACAACAACACATTGTCGAAGAAACTTTGCGGCGTATATTCTAGTATAGCAGGTAGCGCCTTTTGTATTATTGTACTGGGTCCGAGAATTCTCATTGACAAATTAGACAAGCCTTGGCGTATCTCATTTCCTAAAATATTATTACGATCGTGTATTATTACCCAGCCCATTCTCCAACCAGGAACTAAAAACCGCTTTGTAAGTCCACCACAAGTAAGAATAGGAACATCTTTAGATAGTGATGATATAGATGTGAATTTATTTCCAGAAAACACGAAATGTTCATATATCTCATCCGCTATTACTGGCACTTTATTTCTGGAAGCAATATCTAAAATGTCACATAAGTGGTCTTTGTCATAAACTGATCCACAAGGATTGGATGGGTTAATAACTACTATAGCTGCAGTATCATCATCAATTTGGCTTTCTAAGTCGTCTAAATCTACTTTCCACTGTTCATTTGGCTGTAGACAAAAAAATTAAATATTAAATCATATTTACGGAACATTACACAATCAATACAATATATTCAACTTGGGATCAAGTTGTTTTGAGAATGCGGCGCAAATATGCAAATCACCACAATAAACCAGAAACTTGTTATGTTTCTAGAAACGCCTTTACATTTAATAAGCATTTGTTACTAAAATCCTGCTTATATTATACAATTTCATCATATTTAATAAAACCTTGTTATTAAAAGAGATGTTTAAGGAAAACGGTATCGAACACAATCAATTAAAGAAATGAGTTCAACTAAATCTTATTTCACTAAAGTGACTAAACACATCAAAATCTATAGGTAATACTTATATATCCATGATGCTAAGTTTTTTAGGAGTTATCATGATAATTAATGATGACATATTATTAAAAAATAAATAAACATAGTTTAGTACATTTAAAATGTGCATATTCTGAAATTATATTTCTCCAATTATATTATTGTTAATCCTTCGTCTCATGAGAACTCCTTATTTTTGGAATAAAGATTTTTTTTAATAATAATATTCGTATCAAATTAATTAATAAACTACTACTACTACTGCTATGTAAAAATAAAAATTTATCAAGAAAGTTCTGAAAAAAATGAAATTATAACTTCTGCCATCCTCTACTCTATGTAGAACTTAAATCAAAAAATCTTTTCAAGGGTTAAAAGATTAGGTTCAATTTGTACGGACTCTGTTTGATGTCTTCATGTTTCGGAGATTAGCCCGTACAAACAAACAGACAAACTGACAGAGAAACAAAAAAATAAAAAAAATCTGGATTTGTTCTATTTCTCTTCTTACATCCCCTGACTCGGTTTATAGCATTTTTTTCTATGTACAAATATTCGACTTCTACAGTTTTATTATATGTATATAGATATCCCTGATTATTTAATAAACGTATACGTTACGTTAGTTGTCCACCGACCCGACCATCACCCGTTCTATCTCCAACAGGAAGTATCTGCAGTTTTTTATCATTATCCAACAATTACAAATAGATATCTAGGCGAATTTTTAAGGTCTTTTTTTAATTAGAAATATACCTAGTTTGTTTTAAATTCAATTGGTTAAGAAGATCTAGAAAAAAATAAACTCCACTTCGATTAATATGACTGACAATTAGTAGTACCTATTACAATATTAGTGTTATTATTTTAATTAATCTTAAAAGACTTACCAGTAAATTGTAATACTTTATAACTATTCCCAGACCTTCTGCTAAGGTTTGATATATAGAAAATCCAGGACGGGGTACTAAAACATTTTGCCCAGACTCTGCAATTGCTGTTATAACCAATTCAATGGCATGAGAACAGCCACTTGATAAAATAACATCGTCTGGTGTGACATTGCCCTGGTGAGCACTGTATTTTGCCACGGCAGCTCGGGCCTCAAAGTGCCCCTTGGACGGTGCATACCCTCGGCTAGTATGTAACTGAACGCTATCCTGGACTGCTTGAATTACTTTTTCTGGAGGATTCAGATTTCCAAATATTGTTGGATCACCTGAAATGAAATAAAATACATATTTACTTGCTTAAAAAACTGATCATGAAAAAGAATTTTTAAATTTATTCTGCTACTTTTTTCACTTTACTTTTAATAACTTAAATTACTAAACACTTAACTAAAAACGTAAATTGTTGTTATAAAAATACATCTTATGTTTTTTATATTAAGGTATACAACTTTGCTCCCGCCGTTTTTTTGAATATGGCGCTAGCGACAATTAGACGTTGAGTACATACATTATGGACGAGTTAAAATACTCTTTAGTATCTTGTGAACATAACCTGATAACAACAGTAGTTGAGTTGTGTTTACATCATATAGTTATTTTCGAATTATAATGTCAACTTATGAGCCTTATTGTCGTCATTTGCGGGAAGTGATAATTTATTTTTTTAATATTAAAAAATCTGCGGCTGAGGCTCACCGAATGCTCTCAGACGCTTATGGTGAAGTTCCTATAAGTAAAAAAACATGTTGTGAGTGGTTTTAATGCTTCAAGAGCGGTGATTTTTGCGTAGAAAACCGGCATAGTGGTGGAAGATCAAAAGTTTTTGAAGATGAGGAATTAAAGCATTTGCTCAATGAAGACTCGTGTCAAAGTCAAGAGGAGCTGGCAACATCATTGCAAGTGAGCCAAAAAACAGTTTCAAAACGCCTAAACAATCTGGAAATGATCCAGAAGCAAGAATATTGGGTGCCATACGAGTTGAAGCCTAGAGATGTTGAACGACGTTACTGTATTTGTGAACTTCTGCTTGAAAGTCAAAAACGGAAACAATTTTTGCATCGCATTGTGACTGGTGACGAAAAATGGGTTTTTACGATAACCCCAAGCGCCGAAAATCATGGGGATATCCCAGCCAAGCTTCTGCGATTACGGCTAAACCGAATGTTCACGGCTTCAAGGTCATGCTCTGTGTTTGGTGGGACCAGCTCGGTATAATATATTATAAGCTGTTAAAACCGTCTCAAACAATCACAGGAGATCTTTACTGAACGCAATTAATGCGTTTCAGCCGAGCATTGAAAGAAAAATGGCCGCAATCCTTTGAAAAACATGATAAAGTAATTTTGCAACATGACAATGCTCGACCTCGTAAAAGTTGTCAAAACATACTTAGAAAAGTTGAAATAGGAAGTCTTACCCCACCCGCCATATTCTCCAGACGTTGCTCCCTCTGACAATCACCTATTCCGGTCCATGGCACGCGGCCTGACAGACTAGTACTTTCAGTCTTATGAAGAAGTCCAAAATTGGATCGATTCATGGATCGCTTCAAAAGACGACCACTTTTTTTCAACACAGGATCCGATTGTCGCCAGAAAAGTGGGCAAAAGTAGTGGAAAACAATGGACGATACTTTGAAACATAAATGTATAATCAGTTTTTTTACAATAAAGTTTTGAATTTTGAAAAAAAGCGGCGGAAGCTAAGTTGTATACCTAATAATAACAATTTACAGGTTTTATTTTGATAACATTAATTTTCTTTGCAAATATTTTTAAAGAATAAATTGAAATGTATAAATATGTATAAAATTTAAATATTGCATATAATATAAAAATAATCTACTATTTTAAATGGTCCTAATTGAACATACTGCTAGCGGGTTAAATTTATGCATACAAATTAAATAATGCACTCAAAACACTAAGTAATATTAGGTAAATACCGTATATAACCGTATAATAATAACCGTATGCGATGGCCAAGTCATTCTATTTATTAAAGAAATAAAGATATCTTATATTGAAACGGTCTCTGTAAAATATTGTTATTTAACTAATTAGGTAACAATTTATAACAAAATTCTTGGATAGATGCTTCCATATAATATAGGTACTGAATAAATTAACTTTGTTTTACATTACATGTCAAATATTTTTGCAGTAGAAGAACTGCGTTGCGAAACTTGCAATTTTTTACATGTCATGTTTTTCATGGGACCGAAATTATGTACTAGAAAAGATTGAAAGTGTCCAATACTAAAATGTCCTTTGTTTATGCATATAAAAAAGGCGGCAGTGTCGCGAGAGATCAGTTGGATTTCGGAGCTAAGAGAAGACAGAGAAGAAATTCAGAAAAGTGAACAAATCTAATAAAGTCGTAGTGCAAGGGGGTTAAGGCAGAACTACATGTACTTACTGCGTAATTCGCCAAAAGTGACTCCTGTGAATAAAAAGTAATAAATGGTCTGTATTGCAGAGGATGAACCTAGTTTAATTTCCGATCCACGAACTGATAGAACGTAACAATATATTATATAAGATGACCGATGTTTAAAAAATACAAAGCTTTATAAGCTTTTTACTCAAATATACTATTTCGTTCAATTCAGATAAAAATAAAATAATTAAGTTGAGCTAAGTATTATTTGTTAACAGAGTCAAAAGGAGACATATGCCCGATTTCACCAACATCACTTAAGCTGCCGCCTACGTATGGGATCCCTAGCTTAAAAGTTCTCCTAAACTCGCCCCTAAATTAAATTTCGTTTTACAATCGTCAGAGCCCGTATTTCTAGTACCTATATTTAGGTGGCATTTTAATTTATTTCTTTTATATTTACGTGACCCCTAACTGTCAGTGAAACAGAAACTGTCCCCTAACAGCCCCCTAACCATGCTTAGGGGATCCCTTAAACTTTGGTAACGTTGGTGAAATCGGGCAATAGACACTCATAAATAGGAATTGACTGATCTGCTCATTTGGTTTGTTTTGTTGCAATTAATTAGTTTTACACTCTGTTATTGAATACTCAATACGCTAATAAGCTTGCTTTCAGAATACTGTTTCATTACAGAAAATACTGAAAAGTTGAGAGAATTACCTCAGTAAAAACTGCCTTTATAGAATTAAAAAGAAATAGAATCAATGACGATGAGATCAGAGCGTCTATAGGAAAGAATATATCGTTATCATTATTATTATTTACCGAGAAAAATCTATGCCTTACTAGGCCGAAAGATCTCTCCATAGAGAATGAGAAGGTATTGCGTAGCGGTCCGAAGGCCTACTTACTAATAGCTAAGCCTACTTGGAGCTTTTACTACTTTATTCTGGCTCTGTTTTTAATGCATAGTGCACTCATTTTAGGGAGAGTTGCTGGCCGTAATTTTTTCTATAAAAAGTTTGAGAATTTCGGAAGGTTCGGAGTACTTCTTTGGCCTATTTGAATGACTTATTTTAAAGTATCTAGACTCAACTCTACTTTATAATATGATTGTAATTTTTTGATTTACTTAAATTAGTTTAAATAAAAAATGTGGTATGTTATATTATATATTTAAACGAACAATTCTTGTATATTTATTTATACCGGCGATCTTGGAAACGGCTCTAACGATTTAGCTGAAATTTGATATGTGGGGGTTTTTGGGGGCGAAAAATCGATCTTATGTCTGGGAAAACGCGTATTTTCGAGTTTTCATGCGTTCGAATCCCGGTCGGATACGAATTCTTTACCTTTTTTTTGTTATTTTTTTTGTATTTATTCAAGTTTTAGTTTTTTTTTTTTAAGTCATATTAAAAAGAAAATTGTTTGACCAAAAACTCCAAGCCAAGCTCGGTCGCCCAGGTAATGTATAATAATATAAGACTTTTAAATTCTGTTTTAATTGTGTTTTTAACGTAAACGGTGCCGCTGACGGTGCTTTGCAGCTTTGTTAATTCACCTCTGTTTAGGATAAATCTAATTAAAGGTACAAAACTGTACATACCAATGGGAAAAGAATCTTCTAGTATTAGTTAATATAAAGACTTAAAAATATAGGCGTAAACTCTCTGCATATTAAGTTTAGAATACCTCATCATTCAAGATAAAACTTGATGATAAGACCGAATAATTGAAGATCGATATCTTTTTCTTGATTATCTTTTTTCTTTAATTTACTTCACCAAACACGAGGTCAACAATTTTCTCATAAAAATAAGAGGGCAGAAAATACCTATCTTGTTAATTCTGCGATAAATTAATTTATTTAAATATTATGTTAAAATAAACACGTTCACATTGATCACAAAAATCATTATTTTATTATCATATTTTTTTGTTAAGTTCTATTTAATACTTAATATGAATAATTTAGATTTGAGCACAAAATAAAGTTATAAGATTTTTATATGAAATAATTTTGCTGACTATATATAACGACAGTTATATAACGATATTTTGTAATACTGAAGAAATGCCATAAAAAAATTGAAATAACTTGTCCTCCACATTTATGAAGCCATAGGCTATAGCTATTAGCTATAATGACTAAAGTGTATTAGGACGACACCAACTCACCAATAGAAAGAGCTATGAGTTCCTTGTTAGGGTTCGGTTCCACTTCAAGATTCTCGATAATACAACGAATAAGATTTTTAGTATTCTTTGCCAAAGTAGAAGCGCGCACCTCCCACTCCTGGGTACTTCGGGCTCTTCGCGACATCAGCACAGAACTTGTAGTATATTGAAATCTGCGGCAACACTTGACTTAAGAATACTGCTAGTCTTTCGCTTCGCTTCAGTTTTGTATGAATACTGACATTTGACAAATACAAGCTTCCAAGTCGTGGAACTGGTTTGAAAATGTATATGAGATGACGACAGTAAAGCCTGTTATTCAAACATGCCACCCTTGCTTACTGCGACATATAAAATTTTCATAATAAATACCATATAAATTATAGTGTCATTAATGACCAAAAGTAACATAGATTTAAAAGAAAATCATTGAATTTGATGTTGCATATACATAGTGAACCTAAACTAATTTATTAACGTATCTCAAATAAAACTATCTTTTCGGATTTATTTTGTAGTTGTTACAGACAGCAAGCACCTAATAACCTTTGAGACGTCTAAAACCTTAGGCTCTTCCCGTAACCATGGTTGCTAAACAGCATTCGAATTTATAATAAATACAAAAAAAAATCGCATAAATTTCCATTATAATTAAACTTTCTAACCTAGTCCTTTTTCTGGGAATGTTGAAATTATAGAGTGAATTAAAAAATGTAGCTTTTTAGTATTTATATTGTGTTCAGTCTTATGCGTAAAAACTTGTAAAAGCCTCTTCGTTTTACGTTGTAGGTACACTTTAAAGACAAATAAGATGGTGCATTCTAGTTTTTAGCATAAACTTAATCTTAAACATTACGGTTAGTAAATATTGTTGTTTACTATAATGTAGAATGGCGTGCTCGATTACGTATACTCTGCAACATTTCAAAACAAGCTAGAACGAAGAAAAAACAAAATATTTTCTATGTATTACTATTATAAATGCACAAATTTGTATGTGTGTGTGTTTGTTATCCTTCGCTTTAAAACTAAAATGATAATAGACGCACTCGAGCAAGCCGGACGTAAATTGCTAGTATAAATATGATACAGAAAAATATTACGCAATTACAGTTTTTTTTTTCATTTTTAATATAGAAATCATCGACTTTAACAAGGTAGTACGTCGATATAGCAATGTGTAGTACCCACTACAAGTACTAACGTAATTCCATTAATAAAAATTAAAGTAACGATCAGGTTATACTTAATTAAATCATTAACATTTTAAGTTTCTTGAAAAAATATAATTAAAAATTATCTATATCAGCATTACTATATACCTTGTTCTTTTATAGCTAGCTTTTAGAATAGTAAAACTCAAAGACGGCTGTATATATTTCCACATATAATACGTGTGCTCTCGACATTTGGCACAAGAAACCTTATTTATTTATGCACAAGTGAGACTTTGTACATTTAACACTATACAATTTCTTTTATTCTTATACGAAGATCTTTTATTTATACGACAGAGTTTATGACGTAAAACTCTCATCCCTGCTCCATTTCTGTACTCTAGGATGCATTCGTGGTTGAGTCCCTAGAACATGTGTGCTGTGCGGACGGTCAGCCCAACCAGGTGAGACCCTGAGTTGCCCTGAAGGAGGCCCAGTTAACCGACCGGCCCCATAATATGACGTCACAGGATCGCTTAAGATCTGCCGAGGCAGACCGCCATAACCATGTTGCTCCAATTTCTACTTGTATAGTATTATACTTTATTCATATAATTTTATCTTTTCAAATCTTTCAGTTAATATTATAGGCTGTTTTGACTCAAACCAGGAGGTTTACGTGACAGCTGTTAAGGTACTTACATTTATTATGGAAATGCCATTAATCTAATATATTCCGATCCCTTTCAGTTACAAAGTTTTTAATTTTGTTTTTTTTTTTTGTATTTATTCAAGTTTTTAGTTTTCTTTAAAAAGAAAATTGTACTTAGGGCTAAAAATTCGCCCAGGTACAAGTGTTTATACACGTTACGTATTTGTATTATTATTGTAAAAAAACATTTTTAAAAACAAGCTTTTATTTATACCTATTCTCTAAAAAGAAGAAAATATTCCTTAAAAATCAAACCCATCAATTTATTACATTACACAATTTATATTGTATTTATAAAAAATTGTCCCGAGATTTTCCTATTTAAAAAAAAAGTTATTATTTATTTTTTTCTTAGAAGTACGTACTCATGTCAAGACCCAGACACCTATTGTATTTTTGTTTTTTAACACAAGTAAATATTTCTTTCTTATCGTCTTTCGAGTGTATGTATGTGTGTAGTGTACAGTCTATGTATATTTCTTTGGTACGCTCTGTAGCCTAAGCGGCTTGACTAATTTGGAATGAGAAATTCTATAAAACAATCCACAGATCTTGTGTCTGCCACGACCTTAGAGTACATTGAAAATGAATCTGCCAAATGAACTGAATTAAATTTTTAACATATTAATTACTAGCAGAACAACCGATTTTGCCCGCGTTCAGACTACAAAAAAGTATTTGGATGCATAAAGATTTTATCTATACATATAATAAACTATAGAAGTCGAAGTACATAGAAAAAGTATGCTAAAAACCGAGTCAGGGGAATGTAAGAAGAGAAATAGAACAAATCCAGATTTTTTCATTTTTTTTGTATCTCTGTCTATTTGTCTGTTCGTACGGGCTAATCTCCGAAAGCGTTGAACCGATTTAAATGAAATTTTTCAGGGTTCCCTGTTCAACACTTTAGATACTTTTTATCCCGGAAAATCATAGAGTTCCCGTGGGATAGTTAAAAATCTATAGTAACTAATACAGCTTAGTACACAAAAACTACTGATTGGATTTTAATGAAACTGTATTAGTTCATACACCAGAATAACAAATAGGCTACTTTTTATCCCGGAAAATGTACGATTCTCGTGGGATAGATTTCTTTTTGTTCGTCTAGAAACCCGAGCGAAGCAAACGTGAGCCGCTAGTAACTTATATATAATTTGATGGATGAAAGAGAAGGGAAGAGACACTAAAAGAAACACAGAAGACAGGCGAAGAAGAGATTCGAAGAAGACACGCCTGTTAAACTAAATAGCAGTTACTCAAAGTAACAGTTAAACTAACTAGCAGTTTATCAATCTAACAGTTAAACTAACTGGCAGTTTATCAAACTAAGAGTTAAACTGACAGTTAAACTAACTAGCCTAAATACGTTACTTCCTGACATTTCTTCAGGCGTCAGCACGTAAAATATATTTCTGTATTTTGTGTATTTTATTTTTTAATTTGTGTATTTTATGCCCCGGGTGGCAAATCTTCATGCGGAAGAGGCGCAAAACAATAACACACAGTTTATAATATTTATTCGTAACAAAAAATGTATCCCATACTCATACTCTCATCATATCAAACTCGGTACCTGCGTCTGCTCCTCGTGATAGAAGTATACCTTAGCATTTGAGCATACAGTAATTATTTCATCACATTCGTATGGCTTTGTTATGTTATTGTTATTTGACTTTATACTATGTTACTAGGAGCTACACGTTTTAATGAAAAATTAATTGCATTATTTATATATGTATTAACAAAAGACACAAAAAGTGAATTAAAATAAAAAGCAAATTGTTGGATCATTGTAATATTAAGGTAGTAATCGGTTATTTTTGCACAATTAACTTAAATTAGTATAAAGCTGCGAAACGAATATACTATTCTTCAGTACAGTACAGACAAAGCAGTATCCCAATTTATAACTATACTCTTTGCAGTATCCACTTTCTGATAATTTTCTGAAGGATGTTAACACTCTAATTCCCGAATCTTTATCAGTATTATTGAAAGGAATTATATGCCAATCAAATAAAAAATATATATTTCATTATCAATAATTTAAAAGATTTTCATAAAAATAATGAAAAGATGATTGAAAATTATGGCGAATCATTAATATTTAAGTATAGTTAAGAATGAATACTGAAGAATAGTATATTCGTTTCGCAGCTCTGTAAAACCGTAATTAATGAATAAAATTTAAAAAGTTTATAATGAAACTTATTCTTTTAAAACGCTTCTATAAAGATGGTCTGATATCTATTTTTTTTTGTAAAATGATCAGAAAAAAAATAAAAACCGACTTCAAACAAAATCACTAAAAAGTAAAAAATAACTAATTGGTAGTTTTCATTTACTATACATACCTAATCAAATATTTTCGAAGTCGGTGTGCTTTATTTTGTATGGGCTGGCACCGATTTCGAAAATATTTGATAGGTACATATGTATTTAATAGGTAAGCTTTAATTACTTAGCCAAAGCACACCGATTTTGAAAATATTTGATTAGGTATGTATAGTAAATGAAAACTACCAATCAGTTATTTTTTACTTTTTAGTGCTTTTGTTTGAAGTCGGTTTTTATTTTTTTGTTAAAAAGTTTTTATTTTTCCCTTTTTAGTGTAGACAGTAGTAGCAAAGTAAGAATTCTAACGTGTTAGGCTTGTCAAATCAAACAAAATAAGCCCAAACTCAAAGAATCTACTATTAAAAAAAAATTAAAGAAAAAAATTTGTATAGTATAGATTTTTAATATATTTATAATATATTAAAAATCTATGCTATACAAATACATATTTTTTATGTATAAATATATAAAAAATATGTATAGTATAGATTTTTAATATATTTATAATATATTTTTTATATATATATATATATTTTTTATTATACAATACATACATACATACATATTTTTTATACATTTTGACATTTATTTCTTTAATATATTTTTTTCATGGGGGTATACTCACGATAAAATAGTGAAGGAATTATTAATTCGATTTTGTCTTTTCAGATTATCAGTATGGATGAATCTGTTTGTATCATCTGCAATAAGGCAGATGATAAGAAAGTGTATGAAATAAAAAAGGTTTTTTGTTTTTTGCATGTTCTCAGAAGATTTACTATAGTAACATATATTATTTTTTTCACCATCGGAAAGTAGACATTTCAACGAACAGAAAACATACCAACTTTTTGAAAAAAGCTGATATTTTGACGGGTGAATTTTCGATTGAAAATCAGGGTGTTTTTTCGATATTAATTCAAAATAAGGTGAAAAAATAAATATTTTTAATCAAATAAATTACAGCGTATTTGGGACATAAAAAGGTAAGTTTTCACCAAATTTCGTTAAAACAAAAACATTTTTGTAAAAGATAAAAATAAAAAACCAAAAACTTGGTTTTTTGAATTTTTTACATAAATTTTGAGGTTATGTGAAAAAAGTGGAAATACAAAAGTTTTAGATCTTTTTATTACCTACAACTTTGCCATTAGATTTTTTTCGATAGGACTTTTAGTTTTGCCGGAAATCGAGAAAAACCGTTTTTTACCCTTAAAAGCTCCCCCCACCCCCTTCCCGACCTCAGATCGCCCGTAAATTATTTTTCCTTTCATTTTTATAATATTCCCCTCCTTTTCTAATGGGTTGCATCCTACTATTATTTTTTTTGGTTTCAAAAATTATCGACTCTGGTCTAATATAGAAATGCTACACATAATTATCTCTACTCTACTTAAGCTGTGGTTTAGACATAAGACACTGACAAGTGACATCATGACATTTGACAGAAGTCAGGACTCAGGAATCACAAAATCACAAATTGTGAAATTGGAGTTTAAATCTCAGATTTAAATAATAGATAACAATATGAAAATATAGATATAAATTGATACCAGAATTTCAAATTTGTATCCTAATTAAATACATAATTTATATTTTATAATATATTCATAAATACATAAATACAAAAATGCTTTATTATTTGAAACGACCGTCTAAGAAAATATTTTTATTAACAAGATCCGTAACACAAAAACCTATTTCAAATGAATCGAGCTTAGAATACTGTGCCAACATTGTAAGGTATTTGTATTATAAGTCTTAGCCAATTGTATTTAATGTCCATTATTCTATTCTTTTTTAATTTTATAAAATCTTAAAGAATATTTCTCGTATATAAACATTAATCGCAGGTAGACAGCACGATTATGAAAACTACTTGGCAACTTTGCTAATGACGAGAGCTTTCCGATCACCCGCTCTTGTTCTACGAGCGTTCAATGTGGAAATAGCTAGGGTGCAAGATCAAACTACTGATCCTCAAACTGCAGCAATGAGACTTCAGTTCTGGCAGGATGCCGTTAATACAATTTATAAACCCAACAAAAGCTCAAGAAATGTGCCAGCCCACCCTGTCATTATAGAATTAAATAAGGTTAATAAATTTACATTGTATATTTATGTAACATATATAAAATTAATATACATAATTAATTAATATTATACATAATTACAGGTGTGCACAAGTTATAAATTACCAAAAAGGTTCTTGGAAAGATTAATTTTATCTAGACATAGTTTATTGAAAACAAAATACTTTAAAACAATTGAAGATGTTGAAACTTACACTGAAAACACAGTCTCAACAGTTTATTATTTACTGCTAAGCATTGCTGGTGTTACTAATGTACATGCAGATCATGCAGCGTCACACTTAGGTAAAGCTCAAGGTATCGCCAATATTCTAAGGTTTGTATTATAATAAATAATTTCTTAATGTAACCATTTATATTTAATGTAAAAGAATTGCCAAATATAAGTAGTGTTTATGTTGTATGCACATTTTTTTTATAAATGTGTTATACTAAAAATAATATAAATTATTAATTATATAAAATGGGATTTATATGTATTATTGTCGATTCATTATTTTATTCTTTATGTTGTCATTCTGATATAAAATACTTATTTGAGTTTTCTGACGTCGTCATCTTGAGTGGAAAAAGGGTGGGAGCAGTGTTGTACTTTGTTTCATGACTTTTAAATAATGTGTGACGCATCATTCCTTTGTGTAATGTCGTTTGAGGCGAAACTCTGACTCTGTATAAAATAATAAAAACTGTGTTCTGTTACACTGAATTTTACTTGGCCTAACTGACCTACTTCTGAGATAGACTCGTAATATAAGCTATCTTTTAATTATTATAAACAAAATTTCGTATTTTGACTCACAAACATTTTCTTCTTTTTGAATTAAAAAATATTTCATTACAGGTCAGTTCACATATTAAACTATCATAAAACAATATGTTTACCTATGGATGTTTTGATGAAACATAAAGTAAGTCAAGAGTCGGTCTTACGAGGAAATGATAATGAAAACATGAAAAATGTTGTCTTTGATGTGGCTAGCAGAGCAAAAAGTCATTTAGAAAAGGTAAAGACATAGTCCATTGTAAACAGAAGTCTGTTTAATAATTTATAAAAATGGTTTTGCTTTGAAATAAATTGATGTAGACTGGAGCCATAAAACTTAAGTGCTTAAGTTAAAAACACATCACTTTTTAGAGAATAAATAGCTTTTTTCTATATTGCCACATTCTTATTCTTATAAGAGCAATCATTTCAAAATCTTAGTGATAGATTAACTTATTGACAAAAGAATTTAAAATTATTGCTCTACATTGTTATGTTTTTCTATAAATAAGGACAGTGAAGTTCAAAAAACAGAGAAAACAAGTTCTTTTGGATCGAATTTACTCTTATACACTTAGTTATGTTATCAATAAAAAGCAACACAGTTGTGCCATAACATAATATTTTATGTAACAGAGTACAATAATAATAATAAATGTTGGGACATTAACACAGCGGCAACTAGTTCCATGGTAAGCTACGAGACTTGTGTTATGGATACCAGATAGTTGATACACTACACATATATAAAAATACATACATATTATAAATATAAACACCCATGACTGGAGTACAAACTTCGTGCTCATTACACAAATGAATGCACCCGGCGGGACTCGAACCCGCGACCGCTGGCACAGCAAGTAGGGTCACTGAACCAAATGTGTTGTCAAATGTATGTGAGTTAATGAATATATTTGTAACTTTGTCATGTTGTTTAAACTGGGGATAGCTTTTGTACTTGATTAATACAGGCTATGTTTTGTCAACATATCTATAACACGAGCAGGGCCGTAAGCAAAAACTATTTAAAACCAACCTTGACAGGCAGTACGCGTATTTATTAGCTTTTTATAATATTAATGAAGAATAAACAGTTACTACTATAATTATTCTCTTAGTTAATCTTAATTTTTTTCCAGGCACGAAGCATTGAAGTACCTAAAATAACAACACAAATCTTCTTGCCAGCCATTGCTGTGGATAGATATTTAACAAAGCTTCAAAAAGTACATTTTAATGTTTTTGATAAATCTCTATTACAAGGTAGCCCGATGCTACCTTTGATTTTGTATTATAAGAGAATTCTAAATAAATATTAGCAATATTTAAATAGTCGAATCAATCTAATAAGCTTCTAGGTATAGGTTACCTATTACAGATAAATATAATTGTAGTGTCTGTTTGTAATGTCAAAGTAACAGAGTTTTACTAAATGCAAATGAAATTAACTATTAATTGACACTTAGAAGTAAAACAATTTTTAAAATTTTTGTCTGTTAGTTCTGGCTAATCTCCAAAACGGCTGGACTGATTTTGACGGGACTTGCAGTGGCAGATAGCTGATGTTATGTACTTGGGCTACTTTTATTTAAAAAAAAGGATTAGGGTTCCATTCAAAAAATTAAAACCTAGCTCCCTAGCTACGTGTCCCTACGCACCCAAGCTAAGCTAGGGTAAATCACTATTTTACAATATAAACTGACCATGAAGATTGTTGGTGAATGGTGATGAGTAATTCTTATTCTTCTATTTATTATCTGTAACGGTCGTCTAAGTTCAAGTTATTTGATTAAAACTTTATTAGTTTAAAAATGAAAATGTTATTTATGAAAAATAAAAGACATGACTAGAAAAAATTGCTCTTTTACTTCCAAGCTTTTTCATTCATGCAAATAAATAATCACATATGAGATTCAAGCACAGTTTGGCAACATGAGTAGATATAGTACCATAGATTACCATAGTAAATACATTGTAACAAACCCAAAATAAAATTTAGACTATTAAGTTACAGTGATATATTTTGTCAATATTTGAATCACTAATAAAATTGTATATTGTAACTTGCCCTTATAATACTGGAAACAGAATTATTCTACTGGAATACCTATAGATGAATTAACTAACTTCCAAGTCGTCTCAAATTTGAAACAGATTATTATGATCTATTGACTAAGTTTTTAATCAAAAAGGCAAATTACAAACAATGCCCAATATAATTTAAATTTCACAATTACATAAAACTTTGGTTATGAAAATGAAGAGAAATCTTTGGTTAAAAGTAATTCCATTATATTAAATGCATTATGTATATAATAATTGAGGAAATACTCCACTATGCCATGTAAAAAAATAATTTTATAAATATACAAATGTTTGTGTACACTAAATTTAAGGGACACATTATATCTTGTCAGACTTCAGGGAGCACTATCAAAGTTTGTAAGCACAGATATAACTCATATTATCTAATAAATCATAAAATTTGATTTCAATGATAATTGCTAATAAGCACAATAACTCTAAAATAGTACTTGAGTCTTTTTCCTTTGCTTACTTCCTTTATTTACAATTCTGACTGATTACGTTTCAACACATAAAAGCATGTTAACACACTTTACCCTTACAATTTTACATGGAATAACAAAACACTCAATAATTTGGTAATTAAAGGAAGACCTTGAATATCAAACATTTAAAGTTGAATTGCTATTGATATCAATGTAAGCAAGTGTGGCCCATTTTTTTATACTTTACTATTATATTTTGTTAAGTATGAATTATTTTTTAAGATAATGTGATTATATTGGCAACATGTACTTATTCAAATATATTTTTTAGTGCAATGTACATCCCAGTGCTTTTTCTTGAGTAAATTTTTCGTGCATTGTGATTTATTAGAAGCCTGAAAACAATTTACACAGCCGCCAATGAATTATTATAATTTTGGAATGTAAAAGTATAATAAGTAAACAATAAATTAATATAAAACATTTGACACTTAAGTCTAAGATAAAAAAGCTAAATTTAAGTACTACTATTCAATCACAATAAGCTTGCTGCCTGCAATAAAAGCTACCGAGTGTCTATCTGTGGTTATTCAGAGGGTGTCAAGTCTTTTTCTGGTTCACCTTCAGATAATATTTGCTGTAAAAGATCATATACTGGTTCAAAAGCTTTCCTGAAAGCTGAATTAGTAGGAATAAGATAGTCATGCAAGTCATGATGGCTAATTGTTCCATCATTTTGTACAAAACCTTTGTCTATTGATACCATTTCAACTTTATTCATTTGAGCAACTTTTTCACATAAAAGTTGATTAATTTTATCATTTTTCTCTCTCAAAACATTTGGATATTGGCCTCTTGGAAGTAGACTCTAAAAAAAATTATAAATAATATATTTTAAATTATGAGTAAATTTTATAGAGTATGAATGGTAATGGAAATGAATGGAGTGCAGCACACTTACAGGTAGTACTATATAAACACTTGGATGTTTTTCCCTGATTGTATGAACTATTTCTAAAATACCTTCACAGACTTGATCTGGAGTATGATTAACATTATTTGTTCCTACATGTATGACTATCACCTGTAATATCATAAAACTATATTATATTATACACTAAAAATACTTGTAGTTTTAAAAATCGGTTTTTACAATAATTACCCTGGGGTCAACATGATCTAACTGTCCATTTTTGATACGCCATAAAACATTTTGAGTTTGATCATTATGAATACTAAAATTAAGGCAGTGAAGTGGTGCAAACCACTGGTTCCAAACTTCTGTATGTTCTAATGCTTGTAGAATTGAGTCGCCGATGAAAATGACGTCTCCGTCTTTACCTTTCGCGTCGGAAAGAAATCGTTTATGCTGAAATGTATAATCATATTAACTAATATTTTTATTTCATAAACTATAACTAAATACATTAGACTATTATCGAAATAAAAAGCTAATATTAAAAATAAATAAAAGACAAAACTTACAATGCTATTCCACCTGCCGTCGCCTTCAATATCTTGTTGTGGAGCTGCCACAGAACAAGGGTTCATGATAAAAGATAACCCAACTTCAACTTTTACAAGTAAATATATCTTAAAATTATCTATAATGATTTTTATTACTTTTTAGAAATTGAATTTGTAGAGTAAAGAGTTACAATTCCAATTTCTATCGTGAACAGATAAAAAAAGTTGCTTCTATTCTATTCTTTTATATTTTTTAATTTGACAATTGACATTCAAAGTCTTGCCATGAATAAACAAACTATAAAGTTAGAGAAAAATTTCTTACATATTTGTACATATTATCTCAAAATATATATTAAGAATTTAAAAAATGAAATACCATAAAACAAGCTAGTGTAGTAGCCAGTAGGCACTAGGGAGTAGTTTCAAATTTTATTACCCTTTATTAATTTAAAATAACAATTTCTTAATTAAACCAACGTTATTATCTAAATTAATTGGCAAATCTATTTCAAAAATATGAATTATAGCTTCCTTAATTATTTTACATTATTAATCCCGAGAATAACTCATACCTACGGCTTCCAACTAGTCTTGCCTAGTTTGCAAATTACCTAGTTGGGAAGAGCGCTCTTTTAGGCAAAAATTCTAAGATATTTATTTTTCCGGCGTCCGCTCTATTATAGACTGACGCTGACCAACCGACTTATCTATTTTTGCTCTTACACGAGATCTCTTATCTATATCTATATGTATATAATAAGTTTTTAACTAAATTAAATCTATTCATTAAATATTTTTTGGAAAATCTTATTGAAATATATATTATTATCGATACAGGGGCCGAATCTATAGTTTTTAGATTTTATGTCGGTCTGTCTGTCTGCATCACAAAAATACTAAGGGACAGATTTTGATGTGGTATGATGATAGCTGATTATCCAGCTCAACATATAGGATACTTTTTGCTGTGAAAATATCTCAACTCCGAGCTAAACATTAAAACGTAACTAGGGACGAATCCGAGCTAATAATTAATTAGTATTTAATTTATCGTTAAAGTTTTACGAGTTTACGATATCAACATCAAAGTCATAGTAATCACTGTATAAACACAGTACGTATAGCTCGTGATTTGAATTAAAAAAACTAACGAACTAAAAGAGGGAATTTGTTCACCATGTAAATTAAGCGCTCATAATGGCGACCAAATTTGCTCAAGACTACACCCAAATCAGAATGATTATTTCTCCAAACGGCACTTCTATAAGCAATTGGACATAATTGATTTGAATGATTATTTCCCGAAACACTGATCTTTTAATATAAAGATACTTTTACAAAATTATAAATTTTTCAATAAATAAAAATCTTGTTTTATGACGCTAAAGAACTCGTTAAGTACCTTTTTTCCATATATGAAAACAAACACGTTATCTAACTTGTTAAATAACTTGATGAATACGCAATATTTCTTATTATAGAAATAGGGCATGTTGGCATAGTCCTTCCCCAACTTCTCCTGAATGGATTTTTTCATCATGGAATATCTTACTAATGTACGATAACGTAGTCGCTGGTGAAGCGAAGAAGTATTAAATACATATTTTTATTAGTTACCTCTTAAGCAGCCATAAATCACTGATGTTTCAAAGTTATATGAAAGCAGGTCAAATATATAAGTAATATAATATATTGGCGATTGTTTAAATTATTTTATTTGCATCGTACGTACACGAGATTAAGTATAAGTATTATTAAATGAATCATTTTACAGTTACACATATCCAACCCACTTTCATTAAATGACAGATCTGGCCGATTTCAAATCTTTATGAATAAATCTGTTTTGGTGTTAAAATTTTCTCAGAAAATACAAAAAAAATTACATTAAGTTCATTTTGACGATGAAAAAAATCGATGACAACAGACTTGAAAGAGCCATACACTTTTTCTTTGTATTTTTTATTTACTTTACTTATATTCAAATAATACTTGTTACAAAGGGAGCTATGATTCTACAAAAGAATCATAGATTGGCACTGTGCAGTGACCTTTTTTTTAGTTATTCGTTTTAAGTTATGGCGTATTTTTATTGAAATGTCAATGCGTACTAAAAAAAAATCTGGAGTTTTTATCAATATATATAAGATTTTTCCTAGTGTACGATACGATCCCCCCAAAAAAAGTTGGCAGCCCTGCTTACATGAATGAATTTATGAATTAAATATTGTCAAATGTCAATTGTCATATTACATTAAAGTTTATTATCCTTAAATTCCATTTCTATAATATTGACTATATATCCTATATTTTATTTTTCCATATAATTGTCAGAACCACAATTCAATTTATTAATAATAATGGCAGATAATTCTGATCTAATGGAAGAGCTCTCATTAGAACAAATACATCGAAAGGAGAAAAAAGAATTACAGGCTCAAATTCAAGCTCTTAAAAAAGCAGCTAAAAATGATAAAACGAAAAAGAAAGAGCTTGTTTCAGAAATAGCAAAATTGGAGGCAGATCTAGAAATGCGGCATAAAAAAGAACTTGAGTTAGTTACGACTGATGACAGTGCAAACTTGGTTTCAGAATTTACTCAAGAAATAAAAGAGAATGATAACGTCAAGCCAAAAATTTCAAAAGCACAAAAACGTCGTGATAAAAAAATACAGCAAGAAAAAAGTAGAGAACTAGAAATTAAATTACAAGAACAAGAAAATATTAATGGCCCCAGAAATATAGAGAATCAAGCTATATTATCACGATTAAAGGAAAGAAACTTAAAAATGTATTCTGTTCCTTCAGATGGTGATTGCTTATATAAGGCTGTTGTCCATCAATTAGAAAGAAAATACAATAAAGTTATATATGTAAATGACTTAAGAAAAATGATAGCATTGCATATTTTGGAGAACAAAGATGATTTCATGCCATTTCTAAGTAACTCTCACACTAATGAAATGCTTACTGATAATGAGTTTAAAGAATATTGTAACCAAATAAGTAATACAAAAGTATGGGGAGGTCAGTTGGAGATAAGAGCCATATCTAATGTTTTGAAGTGTCCTATTACTGTAATACAGGCTACTGGCCCAGAAGCAATAGAACAAGGTACTGAATTTCAAGGTCCACCATTGATACTATCATATCATAGACATATGTATAGTTTAGGAGAACATTATAATTCAACTGAACCTCTCCCAAAAGATATTTAGGAAGGGCCAAATAAAAAATAACTATTGACTTCAGTTATTGTATTACTTATATGATGATTTTTATTTGCAATTTAAGTATTGCTACTTATTTTAATAAATTATTATTAAACCTTGTCATTTGCTTTAATTAACTTTAAAAAAACTATGTTCCTTAAATTTTTATTTTCATACATAAATAAAAATATTTTTATTGCACCTTCTAAACGATAAAGTTCTAGTATCTGGCCAAGTTTAAATGAGTAAGGGCCACTTCCTACACCTCTCCCCCTCCGCCGGTCACGCGCTTTCTTTTGCTAATTGCTGGACTATTACCGTTTAGAAGGAGCAATAAAAATGTTTTTATTTTTGTAAAGTTAAAGAAATATTTTTTTTTCTTAGAGATGTTGTTATGATGTCAATAGTAATTCCCAAAAGGTTTTCAGTAAATTATAAATGACCCTGTATTTTAAAACAACTTTTTCAACTTTATGCAGTTTTACTTAATCTATACATATAACAAAATTCTAAATAAGTTGAATCTGTACATTAAGTATTTTTTGGAAAATCTTATTGAAATAGTCATTATTATAGACACAGAGGCCAAATCTATAGGTTTTAAAAGTTGTCTGTCTGTTACCGCATCCCGGAAAAACCACTGGAGGGATTTTAATGAAATTTGGTATGGTGATAGCTGGTTATCCGGGTCAACATATAGGATACTTTTTATTGTTGGAAAATATTTCTGAGAAAAATACAAAAACTGTAATCTAAGAGTTATACTAATATGTAAAACCTAAGTATTTGGTTTTTGGTCATCAGAACGTGGGCGGAGCAGCGGGCAATGCTAGTTTTTATATACAATCAAACCTGAGTAAGCGAGAAAACTATAAGTGAGAGTAATTGCCAGGTCCCCTCATTTTATCTGTGGACCTCTATAACTGAGACTGCTACTTCCCTGTACTTATTTAAATAACAGTCAAGCGAATTTAACACCTGTGATTTTGGTTTTTTCATGGAATAAATATTGTTTTTGTTTTCATAAATTTCGGGAAACTAATGTTAGTTTCTAGTCAAATTCAGATGAATAATACCCATCCAATATATACATGTATATCAATATGCATTTGCTGTATTTTTTTTGAACCTATAAATGAGAAAAGCACCTCTATAAGCTAGAAACCGGTTTAGTGAGAAAACTCCATAAGTGAGAAAGAGATCGCGGTCCCACGAAATCACGCTTATCCAGGTTTGACTGTAATTTTGTAATGTTAATGGATCTAAATTTAATTATACTTGGTATAATGCTATAATGGTTTATTCCCCATACAAACTTTTATCCCCATTTTCACCCCCTTAAGGGATGATTTCGAGGATAAAAAGTATCATAGGACATAGGTCCTTCCCAGGGTCTCAAACTATCTTTTCACCAAATTTCATCTAAATCAGTTCCGTAGATCTAGAGGTTACCCCCTACAATGTCACAAACTCACAATTCACAATCTTTATTATATTAGTATAGATTAAGCAATGTTAACTCAAAGGAAAGGTTGATTTTTTGTGAATATAGATTTAAGGTTCCTTTATAAATATATTTATTGTTTGTAAACAAAGCATCGCATATATATATGAAGAGAATAAGTTTTGCTTAATTAAATTCAAACTCCATTCTGAATTGGCTCTTTTGCAGAAGATTCTTCTTCAGTATTATGCTTATTAGGATCATCAGGCTTCATAGCTGGGAATAACAACACCTCCTGTAAAAGTTATATAAATATTTAATAGGTACTTAAATTGAATTGAACGACTAACACTACCACTCAATAGCTAGGGTTCACTATTATTAATATCGTACATTTTGGAGTTCGCACAAGCAGAAATACCAAAATTACAAAAAATACATTCAATACAAATGGGGCAGATTGAATTTGGGGGGTATGGGCTAACTCTTCTTGGGGGCTTAAACTAATTATCATTTTGTCTTTATAAAATCTATAATGATATCTTTTAGGAAAAATTGACAATGTAAAAACAAAATTGTGTGTTCAAAATTTATTTCAAAATATATCAAAAAGAAAACAATATCGAATGTGCATATTACAAGGCGTCCGCAATAGCATTCCCAAGAAGGGTTAATGTGAGGCAGGCGGCCGGTCGTAAAACTTTTGCTAAATCCTATCAGCAGTACGGACGTACTGCGCCAACCCAAAGTGATTGGGAAATGAGCATGAAGATGATCAAAATCTATAATGTCTTGACGAAATTAAGATAATGATATTGTTTGGTTCTTCAAATTTGTTTCAATATTATTCATTGTTTTCTACATTTCTTCTAATGTTGGGAAATACATTTATACATACCACCCATGTGCATACAGGTGGTTATAAATTGGGACTTACTAGCTAGAAAGACCAGTACTACCCCCTAAAACCCAACAAAATCTCCCCCCGTCTTAATGGTACGTCACAGGATCTCACGCACTCAACCACGACGCCTTAATATATAGATTGTAATTGTAGTCTTAATATATTCACCCTACACATATTCACACCCAAATACAATGTTACTTGTACAAGAATGAAACTCACAGCCAAATGAAAATACAACATATAAAAAATATGATGTACAGTTATATAATAAATAAATAGAAAGCTACCTTGATATTATTAGCATCTGTTAAGAACATTGTCAGACGATCAACTCCAAGACCCCATCCTGCTGTGGGTGGAAGTCCATATTCAAGGGCTGTACAGAATGCTTCATCGGTTGGTGGAGTTTCATCATCGCCTGCTGCTCTGTCTTTAGCCTGCTGTTCAAAACGTTCCCTCTGAGTTGCTGGGTCATTCAATTCTGTATATGCATTACATATTTCTTTTTTCATCACAAATAGCTCGAATCTGAAATATAAAATAATATTATGTTAATTTAAATAATAATAAACAAGTGTAAAACATACCATACACTAGCGGTTCACTCTCGCTTCGCTCGGGTTCGTCGCTAGGTAAGTCTTAAATAGATATAAATAGTTATTAGCCAGCATTAGCCATATACATTTTAATTTTTTTTTCGTTTATTTTTCATTTTTTTCTTTCATAAGAACCTTCTTCTGACAATAACAAACACAACAAAAAAAAATAGTTTTATCGGTCCAGCCGCTGACGCGTGATGGCGTGACCAAGGGAAATAGGGACTTATTTTTATATTTTTCACAAATACATTTTAGTATATCCTTTAAAATACATTAATATATTCCATTAAAATATTACTAGATCAATACATACCCAAATTGCATATATGTACATGGTACTCTCTTGTAATTTTTACATTACAGATAACCTTTGTAAAAAATATATAGTAATATTATTCAGTGCAGGTTTATTATAAAGTATGTTATCTTATTAATTGTTTTATTTATCGCTACATAAAATCAGTTTTCAACACAATATGAAATCTACTAATAGTAATTTCCTACATTTATTTTTATAGCTAATACAAACGATTAAGATCGTTCATTCTGTAATCTGCCTTTGTTTTACTAAAACCTCACTGTATTTTACACAACCCACACATATTTCATTAACTACATGGACTCTAATTATGCATACACATAAAAAACAATGAATGAAGTACTAACCGAAGACATGAAATTTGCACATCCTGTAATAAGTTAAAACTAGCAAACATTTATGTGACATTTTTATACCATAGCTAGCGACTCACCCTTGCTCTGCTCGGGTTCATCCCTAGTTACGTTTTAACGGTTAGTATAGATTTCCGAGAGTAGAAAATAATGTAAGTACTAATCTCGCTATTAAAAATAGGGGTTGGTGGTAGAAGGGTGAAAATTTAGATTTGTATCTATTTTTTAATGCCGAATCATAAAAAAATTAAATTAACAATTTTTATCAAAAAAAATATATTTTTTTATTGACGACCCACTTATGGGTATAAAAATAGTTTATGTCCTTTTCTCAGACCTACTGATTATACACATAAAATTTTATGAGAATCAGTCAAGCCATTTCTAAACTAGATATGAAGACATCTTTATTACCTTTCAGTGAGTCCAGGTATTTCTCTATGGTATTTGGACAAAGGACTCATGATTTGAGGATGGTCCAAAATAAATGTAGGATTAACACATTTATCTTCAAGAAATTCTCCAACCAACTTGTCTAAAAGTCTTGCTGTTGTTCTTGGTGGAGGGCATTCAACCTAAGAAACATTTAAAAAACTAGTTACATATATTATTACATTATTGTCATCTATACATATAATAAAATTGTAACTAAGCCGAATCTGTACATTAAATATTTTTTGGAAAATCTTATTGAAATAGACTTTATTATCGATAAGGAGACCGAATCTATAGTTTTTAGAATTTTTGTCTGTCTGTCTGTTACCACATCACAGAAAAACCACTGGAGGGATTTTGATGAAATTAGGTATGGTGATAGCTGGTTATCCGGGTCAACATATAGGATACTTTTTACCACAGGAAAATATCTAATTTCTGAGAAAAAATACAAAAACTGCAATGTAAGAGTATACTAATATGTAAAACCTAAGAAATTTTTTTTGGTCATCTGAACGCGGGCGGAGCCGGGGGCAATCCTAGTCATTAAATAAAAATCAAAAGTCAATAGATGACCTATCTATTTTATTATTATCAAAGATTTATAAGTTTAAGGTAAGCTACAGTTTAGTTTCTGTTAGTTTTTGAAACCATTTTTTTCAATAATGTAGTTTTACAATTCATCTGTTTTATACAATACTAGCAACCCACTCTTGCTTCGCTCGGGTTTGTCCCTAGGTACATTTTAATTTTTTACTGAAATAACAGTAGCCTAAGTTACTCCTTATAACATCAACTACCTGCCAGTAAAACAGACAGACAAAAAATTAAGCAATTAGTAAAAAGCTGTTGTTTGACATTACAAACAGACACTTCAATTTTATTTATCTGTATAGATAAATAGTACAAACTGCCTTACTTCATGTTTTTCACATAGCTGACTGAGTAGGTTGTTTGCTTCTTCTGTATGCAACTTGTCAGGTGATGGAAGTTTTACATTTAAAACTTTTTCAAGTGTAGCAATCATAGGAACCCTGGCAAAAGGTGGAGTGAAGTCAATTTCTACTTCTTCACCATCTGGACCATCCGGGTGATATTTTACCTTAAAAATATTTATGATTTTATTAAAAGTTATTTTATGTATAAAATTTTATACATATAATAATTTAAGTTAAATAAACATTTGCAATAATTTAATTGAGAATTGAAATAATAAAACCTACCTTGTAAGTACCATGGATGCTCTTAACCATTCCAGATATCATTGTTTCAGTAATGCTTATGAGATCATTGTAATCTGCATATGCCATATAGAATTCACATGTTGTGAACTCGGGATTGTGAGTGAGATCTATACCTTCATTTCTGAATTGCCTACCAATTTCATAGACACGATCTAAACCACCCACAACAAGCATTTTATGATACAACTCTGGAGCTATTCTCATATAAAGATCCATATCAAGATCATTGTGATGGGTCACAAAAGGTTTTGCTGTGGCTCCTCCAGGAATCATGTTCATCATTGGAGTTTCTATTTCTAAAAATCCCATGTTATCTAAAAATCGCCTGACATAAGAGATTATTTTTGCCCTTGTGTAAAATGTTTGCCTAACCTGGAATATAATTTTCTTATTTAATAATAATATTGCCATCGAACAAATCAAATTGAATTTAATATTGACTACTGAAAACTAATATATTACCTAAAGGTTGCCACTTTCTCTCAAACATCATTTATAATTGATCTTGTGCCTTTGTAAAGCTTATAAGAGCTTTAACTTCTTAAAAGCATGGTATGCATGATGATTTTTAATAGTAGAGGTAGCAGACCAAAATATAATTTTAGTTTATATTATTAGTAAAAGTATAAAAAATAAAAATTGTTACAGCTATAGACAATCACTGCATTATTGTGATCAAAAAAAACTGTTAAAATAATACTGACCTTGTCATTTAAAATGAGATCCAAATATCTTTTCCTAAATCTTGTCTCCTTGTCTTTAAGGCCAAAGTGAAGATGTGGAAGCATATGTAAACACGGAGAAAGCAATTTGACTGTTTTTGGTATAATTGAAAGCTCTCCTTTTTTAGTCTTACCAGGATTTCCAACACATCCAATAATATCTCCTCGTCTAAGTTTATCAGTGTCATGTGCAAATTTTTCTTCAGATTCATACAATTTGGCATTGGCCATTACCTAAAATAAACATGCTTATATTAAAAATTAAAGATTAAAGTCGTAATCAAATAAGTACTAAAAGTATTTATTACCTGAAGCTTTACACCTTCTCCTCTTAAATCATAAAATATAAGTTTAGCTCCAGATTCTCTTATCGAATGAATTCTGCCAGCAACTGACACAGTGACATTCTCTAACACCTCTCCATTGCCTAAATTATTATATTTTTCGATGAACTCTTCCAACGATATCGTAACAACGAATTTGTGAGGATACGGATGATCTTCTTTAGCTCCATTTTTAAGAGCAGCAATTGCTCCCGTTCGGAGCTTATAATATTCATTAGGACTGATTTCCTCCTCAGATTTAGTTGATTTCTTTTCCGCGTTTACTGCAGGCTGTTGAGCTACTTTTTCGGCCTTTTCCTTTAATTTTTGTTCAGCTTTTAATCGACGTTTTAATTCGCTGCAAATTCATAGAAACAATGAAATGAAATATCTCCTTCAAAATTGTTAATATTAGAAATTAAACCAACCGTGTATTTACTGCTGATGAATATTTTACAGATTTTGATACATAATTTAAGTTCCTTTTGGCCAAGATTGGCAAAATTGTAGCAGTCCTAAAAATAAACATTTCGTCTTAATGTTTCACAAAATACTCACTTCTTGGAAATCTTTTCATTCGATGCTTCAGCCATTTCTCCGTAATACTTTAAGAAGCTATACGTAAAGCGGTAATAATTTAGTTATATATAACCTAACAAGATTTCCACGTTCATGGACCAAATCAAAAAGTGGAAATTGACAGTAGCAAGTCTGTCAATTGTCAAAATTAAAATTATTAAAAGACATCATGTCTAATAACAGTTAACACAGACTTAAACGTAGTGGTTACCATGGATGACAAATAAAATGGTGGTTACATTCTCTTTGACACAGACACTCAAAACCATGGACGAATTGTGGTTAATTCGTTCATGCTCAAAACTTATCTAATATATTTAAACGGGCAATTCTATATTTATTTATTTTATTATTATATATTTTATAGCCCGCGGCTCCGCCCGCATTCAGATGACCAAAAACCAAATTCTTAGGTTAACATACTGTAAAAAACATATTAGTATACTCTCACATTGCAGTTTTTGTATTTTTTCTCAAAAATGAGATATTTTCCAGTGGTAAAAAATATCCTATATGTTGACCCGGATAACCAGCTGCATCATACCAAATTTCATGAAAATCCTTCCAGTGGTTTTTCTGTGATGCGGTAACAAAGAGACAAAAATTCTAAAAACTATAGGTTCGGTCTCTGTATTGATAATAATGTTTATCTTAATAAGATTTTCCAAAAAATATCTAATGTACTGATTTGGCTTAGTTACAATTTTATTATATGTACCTATAGATTTTTACCAGTGATCTTGAAAACGGCTCTAACGATTTCGCTGTATGTGGCGGTTATCGGGGGTGAAAAATCGATCCAGATTAGTCTTATGTCTGGGTAAACGCGTGTTTTCGAGTTTTCATGTGGTTATCTTTCGCATGATTCCACACAAATTTAATCCAAGTTTATTTTTTTTTTTAATCTAAAAAATATATAACAAAAAATAGTCCGATCGCGATGTGCTACACAAAAAATTAAAACCGGAAGTTTTATGTTTTTAAGACGTTTATAGCAAACAAGACAAGTATAGTAAACCGTTTAAAAATTGTTTTTTTTTTTAATTTCTGGCTTGTTGTGACATGTTATCGAAAAATATTATTTACAAAAGTTGTAGGTCTAGTAAAAATCTACGACTTATACAATAACTTCAAAGTTTTTGACATATTTCCAAAAAAACGATTTTTAAGTTTTTCTTGTTTTTTTTTTTTTTTTTTTTTTCTACGCGACATTGACGAAGTATTTTGTACCCAATTAGCACTCCTGAAAGCCACTAAACAATTAGCCGTTTCCGAGAAATTTATATTGTATGGTCTCGGGAGGCTTAAAAAATCACCCCCAATTTTAAGTGGATGTTTACATTTATTTTTATAATCATTGAAAAAGTGTACTTTAGTGACATTTTTTTCGATTAAGGTCTTATTTATTTTTTTTAAAAGTCATTGTTTTTAAAAATATTTATGTACAGATTTTGCTAAGTTACTATTTTATTATATGTACATTTCAGGCTCTGAAGCTCAACCCAAGAACCTAGATCTGCGCCTGGTCTCAATTGTTTTTAAAAAATATTTCATGTACAGATTTTGCTAAGTTCCTGTTTTATTATATGTATATTTCAGCCTATGACCCCCCCCCCCAAATTTAACCCTGGATCCGCGCCTGATTCATCAGTCAGTCAGGACCACCACAGGATGCACCTCTCCTTTTCAATTCTTCCTTCAGCTGGTTTAACTTCCAGGTACAATACATTGCACAGGTAAGATGTGAAGACAATGGAAGCAAAAAACGAGGTACAAAAAAAGATATCATAATAAATTGCTCAACTTCAGACTGAATGTAAATAGATTATACGTGTAGCGCTTTCCTTTCAAGAAATCTTTCCCATTTTCTCAATATAGTGCTATTTAATTTTTTTTAATCTATAATATATATTTTTTTATTAGCTGGCAATATTTGTATTGACATCACAGCTGTTCGTTTCATCTGCCTGTGTTCTGTGTCGATAGATATAATTTTATTTTATTAAATATTAAACAGTGAGTGAAATTTTATTTTTTACCGAATAGAAGGAATAATCGAGCTACTATTAGATATTTGTAATGTTGATGTGCCAGGTTGGCGAAAGTTTTATAAAATAGTCAAATCGCATTTTTATTTCTCTTGCATTCTAGTGAACAAGAAGTGCATGTACTCAGTGCTGCGATCTTGTGATAATCTGTTTTTGTTTTTGTATATTATTGTTTATTGCAGGTATAATCTTATGTAGACCGTTGTTACGAGGATCAATTGCAAAAGTTACTCCAATACTATGCCTCTTTTTGGTAAATCTCAGAAGAGCCCTGCGGAGTTAGTGAGGTCTTTAAAAGATGCGGTTACAGCATTAGAAAGAGGTGATAAGAAAGCTGAAAAAGCTCAAGAAGATGTCAGCAAAAACTTGGTAGGTTATTTATATTTGACAGTAAGTTTGATAATAACATTGAAATTAATATAACCTTTTTCATATACAGGTTTTAATCAAGAATATGCTCTATGGTACTTCTGATGCAGAACCACAAACTGATATTATTGTAGCCCAACTTGCACAGGAGCTTTATAATACAAATCTGCTACTTCTTCTGATTCAAGTAATATAATTCAATATTAAATGAGGTGTTTAAATTTTCTTTTTGTTAAATCTTACATATTTTTTTAGAATTTAAATCGGATTGACTTTGAAGGCAAGAAAGATGTAGCCCAAGTATTCAACAATGTTTTAAGGCGTCAAATAGGTACTCGTTCCCCTACAGTGGAATATATATGTACTAAACCAGAAATATTGTTTACTTTGATGTCTGGGTATGTAAATATAGTTATAATTTTGTCATTTATTATTTTTAACTCTAATATTTTTTAAAGGAAGTATAATCTAATTTATTCTTCTCAGAAGCCTGTAGTATATTGTTAGAATCATTACAACTGAATTTACATCCTTTATCTACTATGTATTTACTTTTCAGATATGAACACCAGGAAATTGCTTCAAACTGTGGAACTATGTTACGAGAATGTGCTAGATATGAAGCCCTAGCCAAAATAATGTTGTATTCTGATGACTTTTACAATTTTTTCCGTTATGTAGAAGTATCCACTTTTGATATTGCCTCTGATGCCTTTTCTACTTTTAAGGTTGGTGTTTTATTTTATCTTCAGAAATAAAATATTTTTACATGTTAAACTGTTTAGCACACAGACTTCTGGATGATAAATAGATCCAAGATGTCTCAAAAGATAAGCCATACTAGATCTAGCATTATAATTCTAGCCTGAATAATGAATGAGATTAGATCCTAATGAGGATCAACTCCACATGACAGCAATCTCTCAATAAATTTGCTTATAGTCAAAAGACTGAATGTAAATCATACCAGGAAAAAAAACATATTAAATTGCTTTGCAAAAGAAAAAAAATGTAGCAGTCAAAACTTTTGTTTATCTTCAGAAACAAAATATTTTTACATGTTAAACTGTTTAGCACACAGACTTCTGGATGATAAATAGATCCAAGATGTCTCAAAAGAAAAGCCATACTAGATCTAGCATTATAATTCTAGCCTGAATAATGAATGAGATTAGATCCTAATGAGGATCAACTCCACATGACAGCAATCTCTCAATAAATTTGCTTATAGTCAAAAGACTGAATGTAAATCATACCAGGAAAAAAAAAACATATTAAATTGCTTTGCAAAAGAAAAAAAATGTAGCAGTCAAAACTTTTGTTTTGTTTCTATTATTTAAAAATTATTTAATAAATTACTAATCTTTAATCTATGAGTTTTATCAAGAATGAAGAATTAATAAATTACTCATGATGTCATATCAGCAACATTAAAATAAATATGCAATAATGGATGCTAAGTGCCCTCATATGCCGACATGAAGACATAGACTGACTGACTTAGAATTTTTGTACTGGGTTTGATCAGTTTCTACAGGGTTGCTGAAGTTTATAAAATGTATTATAAGTTATAAATTATATATAATAGTATTGTATACTATCTAGTTTAGAAACCAAACTTACCACCTTTTGCTCTCATCACACTGCTGTTGTCATGTTTCCATTACTAAGTTTAATTTAATATTATATCATGTATGGGATAGGAATGGGTACTATGAATGTTAATGTCTCATCTATTTAATTCAATATATGTATATATCTCCTAATGCTACAATTGCTATTGAGCCATAAAATAGGTTATATGTGAAACATGGCACTAATGCACTTGCAGTATTCCTATTTTTTGTCTCAATCATCTTGTTAAATGTTAAAATTAACTGTTATTTGCCTTTCAGGAATTATTAACTCGACATAAAATATTGTGTGCCGAGTTTTTAGAAGCAAACTATGATAAGGTGTTTAGTCATTACCAGCGACTATTGAATTCTGAAAACTATGTTACTCGACGGCAGAGCTTGAAGTTACTTGGAGAGTTGCTTTTAGATCGACACAACTTTTCTATAATGACTCGCTATATTACCAATCCTGATAACCTTAAGCTTATGATGAATATGCTTAAAGAGAAGTCACGCAACATTCAGTTTGAAGCGTTCCATGTTTTTAAGGTAAATATGTTTTCAAATGATTCCGAAATATATAAATTTGACAGAAAATAAAGCTGTGTGTGCACACAGATTTATTTTTATTACAGAATATGTACAAAAATACAGCTGCATTAACTTATTCCTCTTTTTGGTAAAAGTTTTCCTCATTGTTGCAGGTATTTGTAGCAAATCCTAATAAACCTAAACCAATATTGGACATTTTGCTAAGAAATCAGGACAAATTGGTAGATTTCCTTACTAAGTTCCATACAGACCGTTCGGAAGATGAACAATTTAACGACGAGAAGGCTTATCTAATAAAGCAAATCAAAGAGCTAAAGCCATTAGAACACTAACATTTATTTTATTGCATTTTAATAAATCGCCACTTCCTCCTCAAAAGAAGTTAGTTATAGATGCTATTATATTTAAACGCTTCTAAGTCACCAGAGGGTCGCGCTGGAGCTCCGCCGAGGACTCGCAGCGCCTGGAGTTACATTCGGTCTGTGATGAGTCAGGGATGAAGGTATAAGTGCTACGAGCAAATTAACATTTTTTAAAGATTTGTAGGAATTAGCATTATTTTAATGGTTTCACTTATATATTTTGTAAGTTGTTAAAACAATTTTTTAGTTTTTATGACGTGTTTAGTGACAGTTCCTAAGTCACAATGGAAATAATATATCGCATTCGCCTACGATCCTACGAACCATTGTTGGAATAACAACAAAGGCAACGAAAATGGGAAAGTCGAGATCTAAAGACTTGTAAATATGACACACTTATTTTTGTTTATTTTGTACTCTCAATATCAGAAGTATAGATTGTTGAATATGAAGGAAAATATATTTTATATATTGTCAGTATTGGTTATTTATTATGCGATAGTAATATTGTTCTTTGTTTGTGTATGACATTACTTGATGAAATTCGCATAAGTGCTTAAAACTTTGTAATAGAATTTGCAATTTTTCACAAATATTTTTGTATGTATTGCCGAAATTTCTTTATTCTATATTTTAAAATTTATCTTTATTTTGTCAGTGTCATTAATGCAGTCACATTTTTGAAACTGAATAAAATATTTGTATCATTCTTAATTTGTTTAATTTTTTCTACCCTCAGTCTAATTATTCATTTCAATTCCATTAAGTGCATATTATGTGGGATAAAGGAGAAGAGGGATGGAAGTGAATGTAGATGGATGGAGAGGTAGAGTTAAATGAAAAAAAGAAAGGAGTGAATGATGAGCAGTGCCCGATTTAACCTTAGTGGCGCCCCTAGGCAAAAAAAAATCATTAACGAAATTTTGTATAAAATATATAAAGTTTCGATAAAGTTTAATTTCTTTTAATTATAATTCTTTTGAAGAATGCAAAAAAAATTATAAATGATAAATTTTTCAAAAATGTACTAGTATTTTTTTTATTTATTTATTTTTTGGAAAATACAAAAAGTATTTTAAATGTTATCGACATTTCGATGAAAAAATTTTCACCCAATTTGCCGCCTTGGGCACTAGCCCCGAGTGCCCCTAGTGAAATCCAGCGCTGATGATGAGTCACGAGCAATAGGGGAGTGTGAAAGAGGAAGACGTACTGCGCCCGAAGTATTTTGGGAAAAGAGCAGGGAGATGATGATGTGGGATAAAAGATTGGTGTCAAATATTACCACCAAATCAATAAAATAGAATATAATACTATGATAATTTTTATTAGACAAGCAATCTGCTGTACACCTTGATTTACTATACATTGTGTTAAAAAAGTAACATTATCACAAAAACATAATATATACATACCAATAGTTTCATTTCAATCATGAATTTGACACTTTATTACTGAACTGAAGTTTTATGATATTAAATAGTTCAAGAGTCGATTTAAACTACAGTAGATTTTCTTTGCATAAGAAACACAATTTTCAAATATCAGTTACTACTCACACTATAAGATATTATTTACAAAACTTTCAGGCATTACGCACAAAAAGACTTATAGTAATAATTTTTATGTTAAATAATATTTATCTACATTTATATTATGTTATAAAAAAAATTAAAAGCAAGTTAGTTATAACAGATGTATAAGAAAGTAAAATAAATTGTCTTTATGACAACATAATATATTATGCGCTTTACTCAAATTAATTTACAAAATACATGATTTTTTTTAAATAGATTTAAGATGGAAAATATCTATCAAGACAGATTAATCATATTATACTAAACTACTTAGAATGTTTTATTTACATAGTTAATGTATGTGTATTAATAAATTAGGCCATAAGACACCAAGATATAAACTTTAAAATCAGAATATGTTACAAAAGGTTTTTGTGTCAGTTTCATACAATTCGGGTACAGAGGGCAGTGTTTTAGATAAATTAATCTACTGTCACAATGCTATGTTTAAACTTCATTTAGTTAGTTTATAAGAAGACATTTTATCATAATTTAACACTACTACAGTAAGGGAAATTATTAAAAAATCTTATCATGTAATGTTAATTTTAATAAAACATGAAGCGTATCTAAATCTTTAAACAAATAATAAATAAAAAGAAGTATTGGCATTTTATCTCATTTACAATTTAATATGTGGCTTGCTGTTAACTTCACCCGTTCGTATTTATTTGAAATTATAATAGTAACTATTTATTTTTCATAATTTCTTTTTACCTTTTAAACTAATTCATTATAATATCACCCCTTAGTCATTCGCTCTTTAGTTTGCCAAAATATTTACATAATTAGTAAATTACAGTTCATATGATTTATAAAAAATGAATAATTTAATAGACATGTCCTAAAGTTCTAAATCAATTTTTTTTTTAAATACAAGTTAATTCTATTATTTTCGAAATGTGAACAATTTCAATGATTATTTGCATCTTTTAACGAATAATATAATTATTTCTCAGAGATCAGGTAAATTATACCATCTTTGAAAAATAAATAAATACAATGAACAGTTTTAGGTAACCCAAAATGTTAAATGAGTAACTAAATACATTTTTGTACAAAAAAAATATTATAATATCTTTTGTTACTCATACCTACGTTCAAAATGTTGCAACATTTATTAAAACACTACTACCTAGAGAGTTAAAAATTGTTCTCATAGTTACTAAACAAGGTTTTTTTTAAATGGATATCTACTATATAATCTTAGAAAAAGTTATGTTATTGTTGGCATGAATAACTACAGATAGTGTATAAGCTTTAATTTAAATCCGCATAATATAAAGAGATCAATTATATCAATAACAATAATTTGACGAACTGTACAACGCTGTCGCAATTTACAACTGCCTAGATAAATTCTAAACAAATTTTCTTAATTAAACTTACACAGATATTTTATGATTTATTTTAACCATAGAGTTAAGAAAATCTTAATTCAATCATTGATATCTATGTACTTTCATAGATTTAAGCGAATATGTGACATTTTATTACTATTTTTTGGGGTTTTTCGCTGATTTATTTTGATTTTTATCTCACCTCTACCACGAATATTTGTTTAGTTCAAAAAGTCGCTCTTAGAGTCGACACATGTCTTGGCGATATAATTTCATCACTGTCATGATTTTTTTAATTCTTCTAAATTTTTAAATAATAAGGTTCATATTTAAGTTGTTTTTAATTTTTTTAGATATACTTCTTTTGGCACACCGACAGCCAAAAACCGACATGATAAAGTTAGCTTTATTCCTTTTACAAACAGAGAGTTGTGACATACGGGATGAAATATTTAGCTATTTTTGTTCTGTTACGCCTAAGAAGTATAACTTCTTACGTGCGTACAATAAGTTTACACGTTTTTTTTAATTTGTATTTTGGACCTAACGCAAATTGTTAATCTACTGCTTAACATACTTGTAGTGGGCAACTTTGGTCAAACTTGGAGAGCGAAAATCTTGGTTTATGTATTTGAATACACTAAAGTATGGATGTCAATTAAAAAATAAGACATTTTCAAACTTTCAAAAGATGAGCGGTTTAACAAATATCGGTCATTGGATATTTTATTGAAATTATTTGTTACAGTATATACCTAATATTTAATTGCACCACGTCTCATTCAGATTGTCAGGGTTCGGTCAAGCCTTAGCATCTTTAAAGAAAGATTCTTTACATATATGTATGTATATGTGCAATGCTGCATTTTTTTAAATAAAATTGATAATAATCATATCTTTATCTTGGTATAATAAATCATTATATGCTTGTAGAAATATTTTTGTTTGCGATATATTTAGATACGCGGCATTTTGTCAACCCTAATTTTATTTGGAATATATTACAATTTACAATACTGAATAGCTCTAAAATATGGCCAATGTCAAATACCGAGGGGAGGCGGAAAATATGTAATCACATTCTGAACATATTTGCTCGTTCAATACCAAATTTAATTTACAGAAGAATGTTACATTAAAATATGTAGAAAATTAGATGTGTTTAGTCTGTGATGATGGCAGATGAAAAAGTCTGTGGTAACTCGCTCGCTTAGGAGACCGAGTGAAGCGGGTTCAAATCCCGGGTGTCGCACCTATGATATTTTCATGTGCGAATTATTTCTAGCATGATTACTTACGTCAGGAAACCTGCAAGTCTAATAGAACCTAGAAAATTTTCTAAAGACATGTGAAGTCCGCCAATTCGATCTTAGCCAGCGTGGTGGACTATGGCCTGATCCCATCATTGGGATTGGGATTGATGGTTTAAAAAAAATAGGGGCTGCATACAATCTGTCCTGTGGCGTATTTATCCTATTGCGGCAGTATATACAGTCGAGGGCGTCGCTGTCTTCGTCAAAAGTCTAATTTATTGTGATTGCTATTGAGGATTTAATAAACCAAGTTGTACAAAGTCAGAAAATTTCACTCCATAAACAGTCTTTTTTAACGTAAAATATTAAAAATTAACATGACTTTCATTTCACAACATAAATAATCGTTCCTTGTTATAATAGGTATAACATAAGCGAAGTGCAATCTTATAGGGTGCCAAATAAAGCTTCCCTAGTGACAGTTCTTCAGGAACTTAGCTCATGATGATGAGTTGTCCGGTGTTGTTGGCGTAGACGAGCCCCTGGCCGGGCTGCGGCGCCCAGCGCAGGCAGTTGAGGCTGGTGAAGCCGTGCTCCCACGTCTGCTCCAACTCTTTGATCGGAGACAAACCGGTTCGACTTGAACTTTCTGTAATTAATTACAATAATAATAAACACCTTTATGAACAATAAACCCACAAAAGAAAAAAAATAGACAAGAAAAATATAAAAAGAGCTGTAATTAATTATATGTATACATATTTAGCTTGTTGTTCGTTTTGTTACCTATTTACATGATGAAAAAAACATTTTTAACAGTAGCAGCATTTTATTACATTCATACTATAAATACTAATATAGTCGGTGTTTACGTAATTTCCATCCTAAATCCGGTAGTGACATTATTTGCCTAAAATATTAGTTATTCGACATGTTAACAATCATCATATTAACCAAACTCACCTTTGATCAACAATATGACTAGTTAACGTATCACATACAAAATCAAAGCTAAATTCTGTCCGCGCCAATGTGCACATATACAGCTTAATTTGTATAATAACGAACCAAGACAAAGTCTTATAAGTTTTATTTTCAATCTAATCAACACCTTGTAATAAAGTCACAAATCTTTAAATTATCATCATACACCTACGATCATTTTGTAAGTTTTATAATCTTTATTGTAAAATCAGCCTTATATTAAAAAAACATAAAGCATTTTTTCCCGTTCTTGCTTTGTGAACTAAATCGTTATGTTTTGTTTCTGTTTGCTTCTTTGTATTGTCGCGTATATTGGCCGACCTGGGCCAAAGTTCTTAGCGGATTTAAAATTGTTCAAAATTTTTATATTATTTATTTGGTTAAATCTTAAAATATTGACTTAATCTACATGTATTTACCGAAAGTAAGACACTCTCCGTCTGAAATTTCTCTATTTCTTCTTCGCGTATTATTTTTGTAACTTTTAAATATATATTGCGGCATTGTGAACGTGTTTACGTTGGCAGTGTTTCAATAGAACTAATCGAAATATAGGCTCACTTTGCAAGTGAGCTGATATTTACCGGGACGGATTTCTTACGCCGACCCGATATCTAGTATTGTGGATTGAAGAAACCCACAAAAGCTCTATCATCTATCCTTATAGGAATTAGTATTATTTTGTTACACATACATCAAAATCCGGTTAGCTAGACTAAATAGTTAACAAACGTACAATCATACTCCTAAAAGAATAATCATTGGGATTCATCATTGGGATTGACACAACATTGTTCAATCATTAAATAAATAATTATTATCAAAGATAACATGTAAGTATGTACTTGGCCATACTTTGGCCCAATCAACTAAAAACAATATAAACCAAGATTTGTTTCATAAAATACCCACACTTCTCCAAACTCCAACTTCTCCAAAGAATTTACAAACTTTAACACATCAAACTTTCGATCGTAATAATAAACTGATCTAATCGATAACTTTGATAAGTGTAAAGTTTCTTAGATTTACGCGAATATTTAACATGTTAAATTTTAAATAAAACTATGTTTTAGGTTTTTTTTGCGGATTTATTTTGATTTTTGGTTCCCGACATTTCGAATGCTCTCTCTCCAAAAAAATCAAAATAAATTCGCGAAAAAATCCAAAGAGATAGATTTTATTTAAATACATAATTTAGTTGATTGGGTTCGAATATATGTACGAGTATGTATGTATGTATGTATGCATGAAAGAGCAAACCTAGAGGGTCAAGCCGGTAGAGCAGCGCGAAGACGTTGGTGCGCGCGTGCGCGGCGGAGGTGAAGCGGCGCGAGCCGAGCCCCACGGCCAGGTGGCGCGCCGTGGGCGACAGCGCCACCGACACCGCGCTCTGCTCCAGCACCGCCGTGTGCAGGCACTGCCCCAGCCGCGACCACTCCAGCGAGTACACGCCTGCACACGGATATATCTATACGTAGGCTAGCGACTCACCTTCGTCCCTAGCCTGATTCCCCATACAAACTTTCATCGCCATTTTCACCGTCTTAAGGGATGATTTCCTGGATAAAAAGTATCCTATATCCTACCCGAGGTCTCAAACTATCTTCTTACCAAATTTCATCTAAATCGGTTCAGTAAATCCGGGGATTACCCCCTACAACGTCACAAACTTTACCTCTTCATAATGTTAGTATAGATAAAACGAAGTCGCTGTCTGCATTTGTCCGTTTCTCCGCTTACTTCTTCTCAATCACGCAACGGATTTTGATACGATTTTCACTAATAGAAAGAGCGATAAACGAGCAAAGTTTATGTATATAGTTTGTAAATATTTTGTACAAAAATATCTAACCTAAACGGTGTTTCATAAAAAAAGTGATTTTCATGAAATTACATGGCTAACTCTGACTAAACCCTTAGAGATTACTTAAAAAAGCCTACAGAAAACTCCGCGATAAGCATGACAGTGTCTATCTGCTAAGGTATACTCACAATAACTACTTATGTTGGGGATGCACCCGAGCGAAACGAGGGTAAGTCACTAGAATATATATGCGCAAAACTCATTAACGAGTGCATTTTTTAGTTTCCCTTCATTGAGAGTATTTTTTAAAACTATATGATACCTTTCTAAAATCTATTTCTTATATTTTGTTAATTTTACACAACAATACAATAATGCCATTTTCAATCAAAGCCATTTCAATAAGATTTCCAAAAAGCATTTAATTTGAGGATTCGACTCAGTTAGAATTTTATTATATGTATAGATTTTAGATTTTGTCTATACATCGTTCTACAATCTAATTCTGTACGTTTTAGAAGAATTACATAACATATAATAAAATTGTAATTGAACGCTGTCTGTACTTGAAAGATATTTGAGAATAACTGTTATTGGGAGTCTTTATTAACCGCAATAGAACCCAAAACAATGATTTTTAGTATTTTTGTTTATGTTTGTCTAATTTCAAAAACAGCTTAAACGATTTGAGTGCGGTTTTCACCAATGTATTGTGGTAAGCTTTACTTAACATTCATTTTTAGTTTTATTTTAATCAGTTCATAAAAAAAAAGTTACGTCAATTTAAAGAATCACCTAATGGCTAGTCTTAAATAATTATTTGTTTACATCATAAAAAACTCACCTAACCAGTGGTTAGTATTTCTAAATCGTGGCACCGGGAGCAAGGCGACCAGTAGTCTGCCGTCTTTTGATATATCAATACTTGCGTCGTTATGGATTCTACACCTCTGCACTACTACGTTCTTTGAACCTGATAAATTATAAATTTTAATGCTTATAACACTGTCGGCTGTATGAATATATTGAAAAATCTAACCATAGGTATCCATTCATTGACAAATATCTTAAAAAATTATAAAATTAAGATAAAAGTAAAATACTATATTTACTCATTAATAACATTATTTTGTTTCAATTAAAAAAAGTTTGCATTTTATATTATTTGTAAAAAAAGGTTATTTCTCGACCGCTATACTAACAAATCTTAAAACTAAAAATATCTCATATTGCAAAACGTCTTTAAATAAAAAGTCGTCGGGAAGTATACAATCCTAAACACATACCTTATTTTTAAACAATTATTGACACATAAATTGGTACTCACTGTCAGCGATATCAGGGGTGTTACCCGTGGTGAAGTCCCAGGCCTGCACGCGGTGCGAGGGCGCGGGGAGCCCCTCCGAGATGATGCCGGCGTCCAGCAGGCCCGCCATGCCGCTCATGCGCCGCATGCCGAACCCCCCGACGCCCGCCGGCCCGCCACCTCCCGGACCCCCTCCACCTCCGCCTCCCCCCGGCCCTCCACCACCACCTCCACCATTCTCCCCGTTGCCATCTTCCTCGACTACCATTGCGTTCTATTAAGAAAAAAACCCCTAAGCACTATTATATTTTCTAATATACAAAAATACATTGGATTTTATTTTCTAACTAGCGGCTAACCCTCGCTTCGCTCGGGTTCGTCCCATATATATTATATTCGTCCCGTATTATATTCGTCCCATATAGATACATTTTATTTTTGTTGAGCGGAACTCTAATTCTTTTACTGAAATAAAAGTAGCCTAAGTTACTCCTTATAACATCAACTACCTGCCAGTGAAAGTCCCGTCAAAATCGACCGAGCCGTTTCGGAGATTAGCCGGAACAAACAGACACACAGACAAAATTTTTAAAAATTGTGTTTTTCTTATAATTACCGTATATAATTCCATATGCATTTAATAAAAAGCTGTTATTTTGACATTACAAACAGACACTTCAATTTTATTTATCTGTATATATAACGATCCAGATAATTAGTGTTTCTTACACATTTAATTTCAACAAAAGAAATAAGTTAATGTATGGACAATGAAAAACATTGTTTTAGCTTCTAAAGTAATAACACACAGCTAAATATAATACTAAGGCTTTTATCGCACTTACTCACTTGGGCCAGAATAATCGGTTGTAAATACTCATGAATCCTAGGCACCCTCTGCGTCTGGTTCCCTTGCGCATCTGGGTTATTTATACTGAGATCACCCACTTGCATCAACGGCACCGTCGCGCTGCCTATAACTGCATGAAACTGTCCCGACTCTTCCGAAGGTCTATTTGTGGAACCTCTAGATAAAATGCGGTCTCTATTGAGCGTGCGTATGTGCGGTCTAAAATCGTAGGTGGGGTAAGGACGACTACGATTGGGAGGGTCTGAATTATTTGGCATTGGTGATCGATTTTCATTGGTATTGTCGTAGTCTGGATGTAAACTGAACATTTCGCGAACAGACGACGGAGTGTATAACCGAATGGTCTGTAGACGTCTGAATCTAGTGCGCGCTGCGTTTCTTAATCTTACCGCTTGCATGTGTGCCATTCTGATGAGATTAATCCTTTCTTCAAAGTCATCCAAAACACTAGTTGGCAATCTCAGAGGGCCATTATCACCGCCCGATAGAATACCAGACGGGCCAGGAATGGGTTCTGGGCATTGAGATTCACTTCTTCTTGACGATACTCTTGTTCTACCTCTGCTGGGAAGTAAGCGTAAGTTAGGAATTCTGTAAGTAGACACAGGCGGCAGTACTTTCTTTTTAATTAATGGATGAACACTAGGATTTGTTTTGTGTAATGCTTTCAGTCGCCTACTCTCTAAATACAATTCGCGTCGATTTCTGGCAGTTGCAGAGTTATTCCTATTAGCCGCAGCTATTAGAACGGCGAGACGGTTACTCCATTGTTGAGATACATTACTTTGTGTCACACTTGTTGGAAGAGGCATATTTGTGTTTGAGCGTGTATTGCTTTCGGTTGACATTGACTGCGAAGCTGTAGAAGTTTCCTTTTTCATGCGTTTACTGGAGTTATTCCGTAGGCGGTCTTCTTCCGTTTCGCTAGAAATAGAATGATAGGGAGATTCATCAGGACCGTCTACATTGACGGGACCAGTGTGGTCTATGTTTTCTAATCGAATAACGTTCAGAGAGTCTACACGTTGTGGTGACGAACTATTACTAGCGCGACCATTGTTTCTATTCGTCATTAACATGAGGCATGTTATCGCTAATGCTTTTTTCAAAGTACGAAGCATGTTAATAATGAGTTGACTCAGACCTCTCTCTTCCAAACACATCATCATCATATTAAACATTACTGAGAGTACTTGCATAGCTCGCATTCGAATTTCATGTCTAGTTGCACTTATTTCTATAGCTCGAGCAAACTCCCTGCGAGGTCTATGCAAATATCTATTAGACAGTCGACTCGCAATAGAATTGCGTGATCGCCGCCTTAGCTCATCTTCGGGTCGCCACCTGTAACTCGACTGCAGTCTCCTTCTTAAAGACGGTGAAGCTCTAACATTTGGTCTGATCTGTGGTCTAGGCCCGGGACGAGTTTCACTTGTGTTTTCTCTAGAAGTTCCTTGCTCTGGTTCATTTGTTTCAGGATTTTCTACATTCGACGGTTCATCTTGCAGCGATTCACTATTTCTAGGGTTATCTGAAGTTTCTTGATTATTATTGTTTTGTGTTCTAGCACTTCTATTTGGACGCGTGATGTTATCTGTCATTTCAGTGAGCATCATACATCTTTCAAGTAACGATCTTGTGTAATAGCTTGGTAAATCTTGCCGACCAGTTTCTCTGTGTAACATAAGAATTCGTCTTCGTAAATTCTCCCACATATTGCGCAATTCAGGCATTGTAGTGCGATTACCACGGAGCCACATATTAGTTAGTTGCATGGTATGTTTTTGTAAAGCATTAACACCACCTCTAACTTTTCTAAAAGCTTCACCCGGGGGGATCGTACACCCGTTGTTCCAGAAATTATCTCTGCTTGTAGACGGTCTAGGATTAAAATCACTGCTGTTCTGATTCGACGTTTCGGAAGTTTCCGGGTTTTCACTTGTAGAGGTACTCGGACCTTCTCCTGCATTATTACTTTGCGTCCGCACGCGAAATCGACTGCTATTAGTCGATACGTTTATGCTGCCTGAATCACGATTTGAAGTTTGTGATTGGGATTCACCTAATTCGAAAACAAGCCTATCTGTTCGAAGCGCAGATCTCTCTGAAGATCCTGAAGGTTCATTGGAAGGTCTTTCTGAGTCTCTATCGTCTTCTCTAAAAGTAGAGTTTCGTGTTCTAAAAATATTCACTTCTGGAGATTGGTCGCTGTCGGACTCTGAGCTTGACGATAAAAATCTGGAATGCAAATTCCCAAATAGGCGGACTCTTTGTGGATCTCTCGTTCTTTCACTTTCATTGTTGTCTTCAGACTGAGTCCTGGATGATCTGTTACGACGGGGCAAGTCGTCTTCAACGCTTGTTATAGTAGAAAGGGACATATTGGTGATTAAATTCAACAGTCTCGTACCGGAGTCTCTTAAAATATCTCTGATTAGATCTAAGCTTTCGTTTATGGTTTGAGCATCGACGGGTGTGGCTTGGGTTTGTGAAGATGAATACGAAGTCGACGGCCTTGGACTTGAAGTGGCTGATGTAGTCGTCGGTGGGTCTTCTCTCAATGCCGTTCCCGTAGTATTATCAACAGGAGCGGAATTCTCATTTGGTACCGAAACAAAAATCCTGCGACTTCCCCATCTCCGAGGGGAAAGATCTAGAACGGAGGGGGAATCGGGTCTGTATGCTGGGAATATACTAGTCCGAGATGAATTAGAAGAATTGTCTGTTCGATGCGCCAAGGGACTGCTTGCGAAGGAGATGACACTCGGCCGCGGCGGGCCATTTGTGGAAGAAAATGGATTTGGTAAAAGTCTGGAAGCACGCTCATTTTGATCAACAGTTCGGAAGGATCTGCCGTTATCATTCAAAGGGTGGAATGCTGAAGGTCGCGATCGAAATAAGGAATGTACGTTAGCGAAGTGTCGTTCCCTGCAAAGATGATGATAGTTCTGTGTTAAATAATTTTCATTAATTAGTATAAAACACTCACATATGAAGCTCTAAGTTCTTACAAATTATTATAATGCTGAACATGGGTAGCAAGAATTATAACATTTCACAGTTTTCATTATTTTGTAAAAATCTATTCTTTTTTAAAATGGCATAACTAGGTTTCTTACGTAAAAGGTTAACTTGTGAATTAGTATTTGCTATTGAATGATGTTCATAAATGTTGTGTAGTTTACCTAGACGAACTGCTATCGAAGGATAAAGCGTCAAGATTTAAAAAGCGGCTACTGCTTGCTTCACTATCTCCACTGTCATTTTCTTGTCTATTATTTGATGTATTCAAAGGAGGGCTCTCTGGGAATAGTAAATATTATTATAGTATAAACAATGATGTAATAATAATAACATAAAAGACTTTTTGTACACATTTACATAATTGTTATTTGAATGCAAAACGTATTTAAATTAATATTTCATTAGCTTCTGTGCTAATGTTATAATTGTATTAGTACTCATTTTCATCTGTACTAATATTATAATTGTAATTCTTTACTTTTTCATACTAAAAACACTGTACAGATTTAGATGAAATTTAGCAAGAACATAGATTGCATTTAGGTTTTCTTTAATCCCCATTGTGCATAGTGCTTACCATATGAGCAAAGCGAGCAGCGCACCTGACATAATAGTCGTTTTATATGAAATGTGTTAAATGGTATAAGGTATATTAATATATTTGTTTGACTGATTGAAATGATAATATATTATTACTTTAGGGAAGGATTACACTACAGAGCTTATACAAAAAAAAATATCTAATTTTGGTTTATCATTGTGTTGTGGGATAAAAAGAAAATAAAAAATCTAAAAACTGTCATTAGGATTTATATTTAGTACATATTGAAGAATATTCAATTTAATAATTAATGGAGTTGTTGTTGTGAGAGTTATGTCGACTTATACAAATAAATATTTGAAGGGAAAATGGTTTACGGTATGATTAATATTAGTATGTTCTCTTTAACATTTTTTGTCGTAGTTTGATTGCCGATTTTAACCTACTTCGAAATTTTAGTTTTAATTTGAAATTTGTAATAGAAATTCGAATGACAATTGCATTTGATAATATCAATCTAATCTGATGATGGCGCCAGTGTAATTCTTCAATGGTACAAGTAAAACCTTAGAGAGAACTCATGAGTTTTATTTTAAAGAGTTGATTAAAATATATTTTTAGTTTTTAAATATACTACATTCATGTTATATAGTATTTACCCTCTTCAGGTTGCGGCGTAGAAGTATATGGTGTTCGTGTGAATGGGTTTGCTTCAGGGGATGGATCTGTTTCCATTGGATCGGTACCTCGGTCCATCTATGAAAATAAATGTGAGTTTTTGTTTAAATATAATGAAATAAATTAATTATTGATTGCAGTATTGTCAACAACTATACTAATGAAAAATAAAATTCTGAATATACTAAGTAATGATAGTGACTTAGAAAATCATAGAACTTATCGATAACATCATCATTAATTAAAAAAATACTCTATGGAACTTGAAAGAATAAGTAGAAAATGAAGTCGTCCGAGTGCTTTTGAAAATCTTTTATTGTTAGTTGTGTATCATTGTTTATGAGGAGGATTAATTAGGAACATCCTAAGGTACAGATACTTTAATAAAAAAGAAATAATATTAATATCTGCTTTCAATAAATGTCCCATTGACGTGAATCCTCTTTCTTTTGAAGTTGGTTAAAGTAACATGAAAAATAACAGATTGAATAAATAAATTAAATTGCATATTAAAATGGGTGAAAAGCGTGTAATAATAAAGTTATATACCGTGCTGGGTGGAGGCGGGGTCACAGTAAGTCTATGTCGGACCATAAACAGTCTTTGATAATTTCGTACTAAACTGTCATATCTTTGAACTAAATTCTGATAAGAATTGACAATAATATCCTGAGTGGAGCCCGAGTTTTCTTGTGGTCTATTGGGTCCAGGCGTCTCGTCGGGATCATCTCGTCGCACATTGCTTTGGTTGTTATTAGGATTCATAGAGTTCTGTTGTGGAACAGAGTTGCTTATTCCCGCAGTTGACGGTCTTAATGATATTCCTGTTATCAGCTTGTACCCAAGAGAATCAAAAGCAACATATCTGAAATAATATTTCATAAAATTTACTCATATTCAACTTCACAATTATGTAACCAAAAATAATACTTTTGTCTGCCAAATAAAAAATATTGTCACATTTCTGTATCATCTCAAACATACATATTTTGACTATAATTGATACAAATAACATAATTTGACTTAATAACAAAATAACTATTATATAATAGATTTATTAATTATGAACCAGTTGTTTTAATGTACCCTTTAATATGTGAAAGTGTTAGTGGCCAATGATACAATATGTTATTCTAATCCATCTTTATTGGTATATAAAGATTAATCTTTTCCAAATACCAATAGTGTATGCTACCATATAAAAGCTGATAAGGCATAAAATTGTGTAATATATAATATACATAAACCAATTGTTTGTGTATAGCTTTATGTGATAAGTTAAACAAATAAATTATTAATTAAAATGAATACACTTAGCAATAAGCTTACCTGACTTTTTCATTAATATTATTGGTAGTAACTTTTGTAAAGGGTGCAGGCTGACTCCAATCCCAAAAGTAAAGTTCATTAAAAGTGGCAATCACCAACAACTGCTCTCTAGGATGGAAAGCTATTGAAGCTATGACTGTTTCGTTACGCACATTCCAAACTTCACTGCCACCCTATATTCAATGAACTCTTAAAATATGTATACATAGGGTATATAGAATAATAAAATAATTTTGCCCTAACTATACAATAAGTGAAAATCCTATAAATCTTTAAAATGACAAACTAAATATATAAATATTTAAGATGTTACATTTAGATAGTGTGTATTAATAAAAAGTAATACTCACGCTAGAAATATCCCACACTCTAACTTGGCCACCAAGACATCCAGATCCTATAAGCTGAGGATGAGAAGGGTGGAAAGCTATGCACCATGGTGTCCGTGGATGACCTTTCAGTATCCTAACATGCTTACCACTTGCCAACTCTGATACATATACATTGTGATTACCATGTGTTGAGGCCACTTTTGTTCTAAAATATAATAAAGTTTAAATTAATAAATGTCATTATCAAAATAACTTAAGGCTTATATTTTATATGTGCTAGTAATATTAAAATCTTATCAATTATAACTACACAGTATAAAGGCAGTAGCTCAGTGGCAAAATGCTTGCTTGGGACTCGAGTGCAGTGGATTCAAACCCTGGGTCTTGCACTTCTGATATTATCATGTGTCATTTCTAACATGATTACCACTTTTTCATTTTATCAATTTTCCATCATGATTACTACATTGTGAGGAAACCTGCATCTGTGAAAGATCCTAGCAAATTTTAAAAAGACTAGGTTAGTGTGGTGGACTATGGCCTGATCCCCCTCATATCGAGGGGAGTGATCTGATCCTGCCCATGGCCAGAGGTAGGATGTTAAAAAGGCCTGAATACAAACACAATGCAGCCCTAAAAGTTCTCTTTATTGTAAATACAGATAATGAATGCCTTTACTAAATAATCTAGTTTTGAAATAAAGAATACACAGACTTACCCATCTGGACTAAATACCATTAAAAATGTTGATCTTGGGTATCCTGGCAAGTCACAGCACTGTAATGAAATAAAATAGGTTATTTTTTAACTATCCATAAAACTTTTTTATAAGAAATGGAAGCTTATAATGCATACATACTCTTATTTTGAGTGGTTTTTGCACCAAAATGTCTTCAGCTGCATTTTCAAGAACCGTCTTATTAGAAGGTGAATTTGGTGGATTGATTCCTCTCTCCCGCCACTGCCAACTCCTGGCAATGTTGCCCACAGTCTGGGACTCATCAATTGAGTCATTCTTACATCCAAGCCATTCATTGTCTATCACAGGATCCATTACCTTGAAATATAGATAATTAAAAATAAATTCTTTATATTGTATGCTATGTTAGAATTAGAAATAATTTTAATACATTTGACTTACACTATATTTAGTAGATTAGTGAATATCTTTATACTTTACCTTATTAATTGAAAAAATGAGATTTACTATAGTCTATAGAGATCTGAAAAAAAAATTATATTAATCATATAAAAAAATTAGGTGTAAAGGTTTTCTTAAATTGAATTATTTAGATCAATTAACTACATCATTTTAGTTTAAAATATATATAAATATAAAATCTTGGCACATCTATAACCTTTACCAATAAACATTAAATAAGTAAACCACAAAACCGAAAAGATACTGTAAGCCATATTGGAAATTTTAACAAAATTATTACTATCAATAGTTTTACTTATTTATATTTATAAAATGAATATAATATGTTAGAAAGGACCATAGGTTAAAAGTGTATCGCTCAAATTTATGTACACAATCTGTCGATTAATCTTAGGTCTTAGGTATCGATAAACAAAAGTAGTTACCTGGAGCATGTTGTTTTTATACATAAATAAGTGTTCACGTAAAAGGAAAAAGCTTCACTTATTTTTGTATTGATTTGATTTGTTATTATTTATTCGCCCAATGGATTCCACTATGGTTTTACGACACAAAATTCTCAAAGAAACTCGTTCGGCAAACATTCAGCTGCGAAATGTCAAATTTACCGATTGCGTTCAAAAACTGATGTCAATTAGGTAAAGATTAAAAATAAAATTTAAAAATACTCTATATTTTAGGTTTATCTTATCATGTCCTTAAATTTAGGCATTATTCGACTTTGAAGATTTATTCATTTTTTATGGTAAACAATCTTCAGAAATTTGAAGAAATTCGAATCCGATCGAAAAAGAATCCGTAGAAATTTGTATGTTAAATTAATATTTTTTTGAGCAGATATGTAAACATATATTACCTGAAGCAACAAGGTTCAAGCAATATGTATGCAAGTGGTATACATAAATACATTTCCCAACGTTAAAAAAAAAGGTTCAAGCAAACAATGTTCTCAAAACTAAAGTGAACTTGTTATTTCCCTTTCCATGCATATTCCTCCCTAAAGACGCGTTTACTATGAATATATCGTATGTTAATCCAGTTGGGCATCAAGCCAAAAAATACAGGTCGAAGGTACCTATGCCTAGAATAAGAAGGAACCTGCCATAATCTTAGCCATCACAGGCAATCCGATGGCAATTTAAGTATGCGCCTTTCTATTGCAGTGTTAATCAACTTCAGTAAAATAACATCTTCAGGTTGTCCCTGGCTAAAATTACATATGTCTCGAGTCCCAGTTCAAAAGTCCGTTTGATATGGATGCGTTTTCCTAAAAATACTTCGACATATCGATGTCCGGATGGCCAAGTTAGAATCATTGGAGAGCCATTATTCTGTTACATAAACTGCCGAGTATAATATGTATGTCATTTAGGGGGTTAAACCATTTTCGGTTTGTGCGACTCTGGAAAAGAAAAATATAACAAATTTCAGTGACTAACTTTTTATCCGCGGTATCACAGATCATATAATACTATACTAATCGGTATACAACTTATAAAATATAGCACCTCATATGAGATGAGTACACAGTATAAATTTATTACTTATGTAAAGCTGATTATTCAATCATGAGTAGGCAGACTCATGAAAGTGTGATTTATAAACACATTATTTAATTTTTTAAGTATTTTATAAAAACAGAATGTGGGTACATTAAAACACAAACTTCAATAACAAATTGATTGATACCTATTGATGTAATGCAATCTGTTGAATTCTTATATCATGACTCATTAAATTGGTTAAGATTTTATATTCTTTTTATTTGTATTCGTGATCCCAATTTCTCTATCTGTTCCAGTTGTGGAAGCCTTGACGCTTTCGGAGTGTGGTGGTTGATAAGCACTCTACATCTTAGAGGTTTTGTTGCTGTTTGCTATTGAACGCTAGCAAACCCGCTGTATGGTTGTGAAATCTAGCGAAGCAGCCATTTAGTTTGACTATAGACATATTGCTCTCCATAATACGGTAGCTCAATGTTGGTGGAAAATGCAGTGTAAATGAAAAAATGCAGTCCAAAAGAACTAAAAAGAAATATTCAGAATTAAACGTAAACTAAAATATAAAGTACCAAAAAAGGATACAAAAGTCTGATTCAGTCTAAAATTTAAATAGACAACTACCAAAATTCTGGAAACTCAGCGTATTTTTTTCCTAATATATGTACAATGTACAATTTTAACTAAATCAATAAGATTAATAGTAGAATCATTTTTATCATTATAACCTAGGTAGGCAAGGTGGGTACATCATGTGCCAGTTGTCGTGTCTATATGGATACAAATATTTCTTTCAATTTAAAACGTTTAATGGAGTTGTCATTTCAATAAAACCACAAAGAAAATATGGTTGTAATATCCTAAACAAATCATTTTCATTCGCATTTTCTGATCTGAAATGGTTTGCGGTAGCCTATGAGATTGTTTCCTTTGAGAATGCGCATCACGTGTATCTGTTAGAGCATGTAACAAGGAAATTAAGTACGACTTGTCATAAAGTTGCTTTTCAAGAGACCTTTTTATGCTTTATGACTTTCTAAAATTGTTATTTAGCATTCGATAAAGAGTTTAAAAAAAATTATCTAAATAGGCTATGTATGTTAATGTTGTTGTATTCAGCCCTTTTTTTTAACTCCCCACTTCTGGGTACGGGCCTCCCTTCTATACGAGAGGGATCAGGCCATAGTCCACCACGCTGGCCAAGTGCGGGTTGGCGGACTTCACATGTCTTCAAAACTTTCTAGGTTCTCTCAGACATGCATGTTTCCTCACGATGTATTCCTTCACCGTAAGACAAGTGGTAATCATGTTGGAAATGATTCGCACATGAAAATATCAGAGGTGCGAGACCCGGGATTTGAACCCACTTCACTCGGTTTCCCAAGCGAGCGCGTTACCACTGGGCTACTACTGTATATTTATATACATTTGCAATTCCGATTGTTTTCAAAATATGACTGTCATTAATATCTTCCTAAGAAAGCAGTTTGCTGTTGTCGGTGTTAGTCGTTAGAAACTTTTCGAAGTGAAACATCTTTGTGCGCATGAGAGTAAAATTTTATATTATTGCCATAGTAACCGCTTGTATTAGGTGCCATAGTAACCGTCGTTATTGTTCGAAAAATGATATAGGTATACTATTATGATATTCATTCCATTGCTATCTTCAAGATTACTATTTTTTCTAATTTGTTTTCAAATATGCAAATTATTTATAACTAGCCGTTCACCCTCGTTTCGCTCGAGTTCGTCCCTTAGAGTATATGCGATAGATGTAAGTGTTACCGACTTTAGATATTTTTAGTGTTTAATAGAGCGGAAATGTGCAATATTATACATAATAGATCACGAACCTGTATATATTAAAACAGCTCAGAAGGGTTTTCCAGGAAGACAAATATTTGGCAATTAACAATTATATTTCTCGCTTTTTCTGTATACTCATTTTACATTTATATTTTATATTCCTAACTCATATAATGCGAATCACCGACTGTCCACTTGACATATCAAACATCTATATTCAAAATCTACGAACTGGCACATAAAATAACTAAATGTTACAGTCGGCCATCCGTTACAATAACGAGTCCCTTCGTTTTAGGCCACACTAAGTCAAAAAAGTTTCACACATTACAATTCACTCATCTGTTTGTTGAATCCTGCTACTCTCTATTTCTATCTCTAATCTGTTTGTTCTTAACAATAATCAAATATGCTGTTAGATTTTTATCGGTAAATGTATCTTCAGTAGAGGCGTGCACCCAGTGGTACAATCCTCATCTTCACTCTGTGAATCTAGTCGCTAGGTTCGATTTACTATTTCTCTTAAGGCGAGAGAATCTTAGACTGCCCACCCCCTTCAGCTCGGCAGCTAATTTATTTATGTGTTGGTCCAATCTGGCTTGATAATTATTGCTGTTTAACTCGACATCTTCCTTCACTATTTGCAGATTGAAATCTAGGTAAACATATTTATTACTTATATTTGGTGGAACATTGATCATGATTCTCATTGTTTTGCTCTGAAACCTTTCGAGTATTTCAATATTACTATGGCTGGCTGTACTCCAGAGCTGAATGCCACAACTCCATATAGGCTTTCCGCTTTAGTATAGCTTTATAGGTAATAGACAGCCATTTTACTATCATTTGCCAACGATGACTTACGACTGATGAGCCCATATATGCTGCGGAATTTGTGTCTAGCTGTTTCCTTTTAGTCCATATGTGTTTGCGCCAAGTGAGTCTACGGTCGAGATGTATACCTAAGTATTTGGCGTCATCAGATTGTGGGATCTCTCTTTCACAGAAGGGTAGGTTTAAAACACAAATCTTTGTTTTCGATGGCGATACAGTCAACCTTATATCGGATAAATGACTATTCAATTCATCTAGCGATCTCTGCATACGTATGGTCCCTAAGCTAAAGTTATCACAAGTTATATCACAAAATCATCAGCATATTGGGATATTAATACATTTTTTAATCTTTTTGCATAAATTCATAGTTGCTATATTGAACACTAAAGGTGATAAAGGATCGCCTTGGGCTAAGTTTTCCTAGAGACATAATACGAGTTATCAATTAAAATATTAAGATTTCTTTCCTTGAAAAAATTATGTACGTAGGTGCAAATATTAGATCCGACTCCCATTTCATCCACGTTATGTAAAAGACCTCTGAGATTGTTATTATATGCATTATCAATGTCTATAAAGCGTATTATAGTGTACGTCTTCCTTAAAAGAAAACTTTCTCTTTTGTCAATACTAAATCACTGAGATTATCAAGTGTAGATCGGAATTTTCTAAACCCATTTATCCGGTTTAAAAAAAATTCAAACTTTTCTATAAACCATTGTATTCGCTTCAATAGAATGTTATGAAAAG